CTAGGCCGCATATTGCTAGGCGCATATTTGGCTAGGCGCATATTGGCTAGGGCGCATATTGGCTAGGCGCATATTGGCTAGGCGCATATTGGCTAGGCGCATATTGGCTAGGCGCATATTGGCTAGGCGCATATTGGCTAGGCGCATATTGGCTAGGCGCATATTGGCTAGGCGCATATTGGCTAGGCGCATATTGGCTAGGCGCATATTGGCTAGGCGCATATTGGCTAGGCGCATATTGGCTAGCGCATATTGGCTAGGCGCATATTGGCTAGGCGCATATTGGCTAGGCGGCATATTGGCTAGGCGCATATTGGCTAGGCGCATATTGGCTAGGGCGCATATGGTATGCGCATATTGGCTAGGCGCATATTGGCTAGGCGCATATTGGCTAGGCGCATATTGGCTAGGCGCATATTGGCTAGGCGCATATTGGCTAGGCGCATATTGGCTAGGCGCATATTGGCTAGGCGCATATTGGCTAGGCGCATATTGGCTAGGCGCATATTGGCTAGGCGCATATTGGCTAGGCGCATATTGGCTAGGCGCATATTGGCTAGGCGCATATTGGCTAGGCGCATATTGGCTAGGCGCATATTGGCTAGGCGCATATTGGCTAGGCGCATATTGGCTAGGCGCATATTGGCTAGGCGCATATTGGCTAGGCGCATATTGGCTAGGCGCATATTGGCTAGGCGCATATTGGCTAGGCGCATATTGGCTAGGCGCATATTGGCTAGGCGCATATTGGCTAGGCGCATATTGGCTAGGCGCATATTGGCTAGGCGCATATTGGCTAGGCGCATATTGGCTAGGCGCATATTGGCTAGGCGCATATTGGCTAGGCGCATATTGGCTAGGCGCATATTGGCTAGGCGCATATTGGCTAGGCGCATATTGGCTAGGCGCATATTGGGCTAGGCGCATATTGGCTAGGCGCATATTGGCTAGGCGCATATTGGCTAGGCGCATATTGGCTAGGCGCATATTGGCTAGGCGCATATTGGCTAGGCGCATATTGGCTAGGCGCATATTGGCTAGGCGCATATTGGCTAGGCGCATATTGGCTAGGCGCATATTGGCTAGGCGCATATTGGCTAGGCGCATATTGGCTAGGCGCATATTGGCTAGGCGCATATTGGCTAGGCGCATATTGGCTAGGCCGCATATTGGCTAGGCGCATATTGGCTAGGCGCATATTGGCTAGGCGCATATTGGCTAGGCGCATATTGGCTAGGCGCATATTGGGCTAGGCGCATATTGGCTAGGCGCATATTGGCTAGGCGCATATTGGCTAGGCGCATATTGGCTAGGCGCATATTGGGCTAGGCGCATATTGGCTAGGCGCATATTGGCTAGGCGCATATTGGCTAGGCGCATATTGGCTAGGCGCATATTGGCTAGGCGCATATTGGCTAGGCGCATATTGGCTAGGCGCATATTGGCTAGGCGCATATTGGCTAGGCGCATATTGGCTAGGCGCATATTGGCTAGGCGCATATTGGCTAGGCGCATATTGGCTAGGCGCATATTGGCTAGGCGCATATTGGCTAGGCGCATATTGGCTAGGCGCATATTGGCTAGGCGCATATTGGCTAGGCGCATATTGGCTAGGCGCATATTGGCTAGGCGCATATTGGCTAGGCGCATATTGGCTAGGCGCATATTGGCTAGGCGCATATTGGCTAGGCGCATATTGGCTAGGCGCATATTGGCTAGGCGCATATTGGCTAGGCGCATATTGGCTAGGCGCATATTGGGCTAGGCGCATATTGGCTAGGCGCATATTGGCTAGGCGCATATTGGCTAGGCGCATATTGGCTAGGCGCATATTGGCTAGGCGCATATTGGCTAGGCGCATATTGGCTAGGCGCATATTGGCTAGGCGCATATTGGCTAGGCGCATATTGGCTAGGCGCATATTGGCTAGGCGCATATTGGCTAGCGCCATATTGGCTAGGCGCATTATTGGCTAGGCGCATATTGGCTAGGCGCATATTGGGCTAGGCGCATATTGGCTAGGCGCATATTGGCTAGGCGCATATTGGCTAGGCGCATATTGGCTAGGCGCATATTTTTTTTGGATGGGGCTAGGCGCATATTGGCTAGGCGCATATTGGGCTAGGCGCATATTGGGCTAGGCGCCATATTGGCCTAGGCGCATAGTGGCTAGGCGCTATTGCTAGGGGCGATATTAGGCTAGGCGCATATTGGCTAGGCGCATAGTGGCTAGGCGCATATTGGCTAGGCGCATATTGGCTAGGCCGCATATTGGCTGGGCGCATATTGGCTAGGCGCATATTGGCTAGGCCGCATATTGGCTAGGGCGCATATTGGCTAGGCCGCATATTGGCTAGGTGCATATTGGGCTAGGCGCATATTGGGCATTAGGCGCATATTGGCTAGGCGCATATTGGCTAGGCGCATATTGGCTAGGGCCGCATATTGGCTAGGCGCATATTGGCTAGGCGCATATTGGCTAGGCGCATATTGGCTAGGCGCATATTGGCTAGGCGCATATTGGCTAGGCGCATATTGGCTAGGCGCATATTGGCTAGGCGCATATTGGCTAGGCGCATATTGGCTAGGCGCATATTGGCTAGGCGCATATTGGCTAGGCGCATATTGGCTAGGCGCATATTGGCTAGGCGCATATTGGCTAGGCGCATATTGGCTAGGCGCATATTGGCTAGGCGCATATTGGCTAGGCGCATATTGGCTAGGCGCATATTGGCTAGGCGCATATTGGCTAGGCGCATATTGGCTAGGCGCATATTGGCTAGGCGCATATTGGCTAGGCGCATATTGGCTAGGCGCATATGGACTAGGCGCATATTGGCTAGGCGCATATTGGCTAGGCGCATATTGGCTAGGCGCATATTGGCTAGGCGCATATTGGCTAGGCGCATATTGGCTAGGCCGCATATTGGCTAGGCGCATATTGGCTAGGCGCATATTGGCTAGGCGCATATTGGCTAGGCGCATATTGGCTAGGCGCATATTGGCTAGGCGCATATTGGCTAGGCGCATATTGGCTAGGCGCATATTCACCGCATGTTTCTGGTTAATACAACGCACCTCTCTCCACTCACACCCCAACTTTTGAAGCACCTCAGAAGTCTTTTGAGGCGCCTCAAAACCCATGGAGCGCATGTTCCTGGTTATTACAACCACGCGCCTCTCTCATCTCACACGTCAATGCATCCCATACTCACCGTGTAAGCTCCCGCTCCTCCCATGCCACCTGACCCAGACACGCCCGCCTCCCCAAAACGGTCGTATAGTGGCCGCTTCTCTTCGTCCGAAAGAACCTGTCACGAAGGCAAATGGCCGCAAGCAGCCGTGACAGGATACGTGAGGATCTAGAAGACGAAAAACGGGAAGAGCACGAGAGCGTTTCTCGTCGACAAAAGTCCCTTGCTGCTCATAATGTAACAATTCACAACCAAAAGGAGACGTGTGAAGGGACATGTGGTTGGCAGTGGTTGGCAGTGGTTGGCAGTGGTCACCTCGTAAGCGCTACTGATCTCCTTGAACTTGTCCTCCGCTCCAGGGTCCTTGTTGACGTCCGGATGGAACTGCACGTGGTTCAAAAGGGCGAGAACACGAAGGAAAAAGGCTGGTGAGATGAAGCTCGAAAGAGGACAAAATCCTTCAATTTTGGCCGAAGGAAGTAGCAAAAGCAACAAGCACAAAGACATTGGCACACTGCTCGGTGCGTCGCAAGGTCCTGCGAAGAAGATGCACTTCGCAGTAACGAACAATAAGGAGCCGGTACTTCACCTGCCGAGCGAGTCGTCGGTACGCGCTTTTGATGTCTTGCTTCGACGCGTTCTTGGCAACTCCGAGCGTGGCGTAATAATCCGCCGCTGCCTTAACCGTTAGTCTTGCACCTCGTGATCCCGGACCGCGCGAACTGGGTACCCTACATCTGAGCAGCGCCGTTTGTCCTGGTCGGAAAAACTCGTCTCTAGACGAAAATGCGAAGCTGGATGGCGTGAACGACGAGTTTCTGGTTCCGGTGGATGACTGAAGCTGGCCGGTGGCTGCTAGCCTAACTGACGCTGACGGAATCTGACAAGCAGCCATGGTTGCTCCTTGGCACAAACCCAACGACATTGCCTTTCTATTGGTGCTTACACGAATTCAATCTACCAGAACTACCGACAATGGACGACACGAAAATCGCAACAGGCTATGAAATCACGAAGACACTAGCTAGAGATGCTGAGTTGTTCAGGCAAGACACCTTCATAGATGAGAGCGGAAAGCATTGATAATGTCTGGCCTGTATGGGAAGCCTGGGGACTAGGGAGTTTTCCGTGGAGTGTGAAGGAGGCAATCTCGAGGTTGGCTGATGATCTAGCGAATTTTGCAAAAGCCTTTCAGGCGGTCGAGATTGGAACTCTCGCGAGGAATCGGGATTTGGGACGGGCTGACGCAGCAGGCACATTGGCGGGAATATGGGACACCCTGACGAAATTGCGTTCGCAAGAAGGCAGGCCTCGCTGGCTCACACGTGGCGTGCCAGGGACCTTGCACGTGGAAACTGAAACATTGCAGTGACCAAGTATATACACGTTACTGTCATAAATTGCTGAGCTTCTACAACTTGGCATGACAACGTAAAAGGAAAAGCCACTCCCTTCCCTATCATCAACCAGGCTGTCCTGCCTCGCCTGTTATAAGTGTGCTAATTCTAGTAATTCCTTGAGAAAAATGTCTAAACTGAAACTTCTTTGTATCTAGCATGGGCATCAACAACCAGTACCTTACACAGAACAATTAAGAGTAGATGCGATTAACAAGCTCGATTAACAAGCTAGATAGCAACAACCTCGGGAAAGGGACCCTTCCAAGGAACTATTCCAGGGCTTTCCTGTGCACCAAAGAAATTCGAGAAATCTTCTTCAGTGATGTTGAAAGCTTCAGCACCAAGAGCCGGCCTCATTGCCTTGTACACGCTTTTGCTCCCTGCTCAAAATAACAGATGCAAAAGATTAGCTACCAGCTACCAATCCAGAGATGTCTGAACCAGACGAGTAACAGCTCGAAAGGAAGAAAAAAAAATGCCCTTGAACACAATATTCTGCTTATTACCTGCAAGAAATTTGATGGATGGATGATAAGAACCAATTCGAATGCCAAGAATCTGCACGCCCTGCTCTCCCGCCTGCAGAGCATGGGCGTACCCCATGGGGACCACCCCCACGTGGCCTGCCTGCACGGCATCACTGGCAGCCGTGGTGCCGTTGGGGTGCACCGACTCAAAGTGCCCCGAACCCTTGAGCACCGTGAAGACCACCGCTGCGTTGCCGTGAATGTGTGGCGCCACCACCGCATGCTACTCAGGAGAGAGCGGCGTGGGAGAGGGGGTAGGGAAGAGGGAAGGGGAGAGGGAAGGGGAAGGGAGTGGGAGAGGGGAGAGTGTGGTGTGGAGGCAAGAACAGGGAGCGAGAGGAGGGGGTTTGCATATGCCATACCCCATGGGGACCACCCCCACGTGGCCTGCCTGCACGGAATCGCTGGCAGCCGTGGTGCCGTTGGGGTGCACTGACTCAAAGTGGCCAGAGCCTTTGAGAACCGTGAAGACCACTGCTGCATTGCCATGGATGTGTGGTGCCACCACTGCATGCTGTAGGGGGGGAATTAGGAGGAAAATACCGTGGTGGCGGTGGGTTGAAAAGAGGTTCAAGGGAGGTAGTGTTTGGAGGCAAGAAAATAGGGAAAGGAGGGTTTCAACAGAAGAGCAGATGTGTAAGGGTGGAGCAACTAGTTGCAACACAGTTTTGAAACTACAGATGACTCAAAGTAGGCGTACCGGGTAGAGGGTGAGCAGCACGATTTCGCCCTCAATGCCTGTGAGTCTAAGTGCCTTGAAGTCCCGGTACGACACGCGCACCATGCTGCCACCCTCCGTGGCAACTGATTGCAACGAGTCACAAAACTGTACAGACGCAGAAGTAGGCTTACCGGGTAGAGGGTCAGCAGTACAATCTCGCCCTCAATGCCTGTGAGCCTGAGCGCCTTGAAGTCCCGGTACGACACGCGGACCATGCTGCCTCCCTCCGTGGCAATTGCAGGCTGCCGTGCCGCCACGTGATCCACCAGAACAGTTTTTTTCTTCTTCTTCTCCTTCTTTCCTTTCTTATCCTTCTTCTCCTTTTTCTTCTCCTTCTTCTCCTTCTTGCCCTTCTTTTTCTCCTTTTTCTCCTTCTTGCCCTTCTTGCCCTCTAACCCAAGCTCCACTCCTTCAGCCAAACCCATCCTTCTCATCCCAGCAGCACCCCTACCCGTTCCCAATTCCTCCACATCCCCTGAAACATCACCCTCTGCCCCATCCTCCCCGAAGTCATCCCCCTCTGCAGCTGGCTTGGGAGGCGAGGGCGGTACGCAGCGGGACACGATGATCCCTCCGCCAGAGGCTTGGTCAAGCAGCGCCCTGACCACATCGTGCTGCTGGTTGAATGCCGTCTCCAGGATGTGCAGACTGAAGCCAGACAGCACCGAGTGGGGTTTGCTGCCTGCAAGGTACGATTTCTGCAAACAGAGGTAGGAACGAGGACTGATGAAAAAATCAAGAACAGTAGGGGTGTTGTGGAGGAGGAGGGGGGATTGATGAATTAATATGTGCAGAATGGAAATAAAAAGCGGACATGCACCTGCTTGTGATGGCTGAAGCGAACGGCTGTAATGATGAGCTCTGGTGATTGGTTGAGGAAGTTCCCGATGCTGTACGTCCATCCCTTGGGAACCACCACGGCATCCCCGCTGTTCACAGTGATTGGTGACACGTCAGCAGGCACCTGGCCATTGTCATCTATCAGCTCCACCACACCCGACCCTGAGAATGTTAGCCCAATAGCCCAATACACAGCAGAAAAGGATATCGAGGAGGGGCATGATCAGTAATCGAGTACATCGTAAGAACAGCAAGAGACATCAATTGTTAAAAAAAGCTCGGGAAATCCATGAACGTGAACTTTTATAATAAGTGTCTCACGGGAGGGACGGTAACACGGCGTACCTTGTTGAATGAACAGCAGCGACGGAGAGCCAATAGACACCCGAGGCACCAGCAATCCGCACTGGCGAATCACAAGCCTCTCCACAGCCACGTCAGCTGCCTCCTTGAGAACGTCAAACGAGTAGGACACGATGTCGCCTCCGCCGAGTCGCTCTGATGCTGCATGCTCCAGGCTCAATGTCCATGGCGGTTCAAGCCTGGCCTCCACACCTGTGAATGCACATAAATATCAAAAGCAAGAAGTGGAGAAATTATTAGATGATAATAGGATTGTGCAACAGGCTGGACGATGCTTGAAAGCATTGATAAAAAGGCAAGTGAAGGATGGCACTGAAAAACGTTGCGCGCTTCTCACTCTGAAGAATCAGGAAAACGGCTGACAGTACAAGAGCGGCACGCGGAATCCTCATCTCTCTAGCTCGACGGCAGGCAAGCAACGAACGGGCACAGGAACACTGACGAGAGAAACAGATAAAGAGCGACTCAAGAACGACAGGGACAGGAAGCGCATCCAAGCGCAGTGCCCTGAGGTTAGAGCAGATGCAAGCGATGCAAGCTCGGGTGCGTCATGGCTCGCCTGTGCTTCGACGTTCTCACCTCGACTTCAGCCTCCGTCCATCATAGAATTCAGCCTTCAAGCCATGGAATAATTTCCTTGAAAAGCTCGAATCAAGACATGGTCATGATGCTATCGCCACCACCTCCCAGGCTGCAGCTGACGATGAGACAGCGACGCAGCTGACTGGTTAGCGCCACGTGCCTTGTGCGCGTCGTACATCCCTAACATGGAAGCAGGACGAACTTGCTCAAGCATGCCAATGCCGGGTTCGCTTTTGACTGCCGAGTAATTTGAGATTTCCCTTTCGCCTGTTCTAGGAAATGCGGTGTTTCGTCTACGACAATCCCAAGGAAAAGCTTTCCCGTCACAATTGGTTTATCATCAATTTTGAATTCACTTGCTGGTCTGCTCATCATGTTTTATCTACCAAGGGTCTAATCACTCTCTTTTGGAAATGGGCAATATAATAAAAAAACTAGGTAAACAATATGAAATGAAAGTTACAGAACAGACAGATCACTTCTTTCCCTTCTTGCCCATCCTGGGGTTCTTGAGCATGCGGACTGAAAGGGGTGTGACCTCCACGAGCTCATCCTCTTGAATGTACTCCACACAATCATCCAAGCTGAACTCAAGGGGCGCCGCCAACACCACTGCAAGGAAAAACACGGTTAACAAACCAAAATGTTAGAAACACAACCAACAGAAAAAGAAAAAGATTACTCATAAATCAAGCTTCAATAAACATCAATCCCTTGGTCAAGAAAGCAAACATAGCCAGACAGACACACACATGGCAGACACACATGAGCATACGCACCTGTGGCATCCTTGTTGGATCGCACGTTGGTGGCAGCTTTCCTCTTGCACGCATTCAGGTCGAGGTCTCCGGGCCTCTGGTGAAGACCAATGATCATCCCCTTGTACACCTCCACTCCCTTGGAGTCAACTCAAAAACCATACCCTCACTCGCACACACATAAGCACACACACACACACACACCTGTGGCATCCTTGTTGGATCGCACGTTGGTGGCCGCTTTCCTCTTGCACGCGTTCAGGTCCAGGTCTCCGGGCCTCTGGTGAAGACCAATGATCATCCCCTTGTACACCTCCACTCCCGGCCCCAGCAGCAGCTGCCCCCGCTCCTGACAGCTGAAGAGCGCATACGACGTGGTTGGGCCCATGTCAAATGACACCTGCACCAGAGAGCAAGAGAACAATGCAGGCAAGGGACGAGAGCAGATTAAGAAGCAGTGAGAAGAGAGCATACGACGTGATTGGGCCCGTGTCCAATGACACCTGCACCAGAGCAACGGGGTGGAGGAGGCATTTCCTGAGGCGCCTAAAAAATCCTGACACTTTCCAAGGAAAAAAGGACATTGGGGGGGGACTGGTGTGAGAGATGGAGAGAAAGAAGGTGCAAAGCAGGGTGTGTTGGAGGGATAGGAGTAGCAAGAAGTGAGGAACACAATGCAATAAGGGCAGTCAGTATGGCGTTGCTCAGCCCCAGCAGGCCACATGCTTCCAGCACCCCACCTGTTCCCAGACATTTTACCCTCAGCACCTAAAGGTACTCACCAGGGAGCCTTGCTCGCGTGTGCTCATGTCGCCTGCCCACGGTCCATAGCTGTCAAAGATGGTGTTGATGACAGCCGTGCCACGCGTGGCAGTGAGCATGGCGTTGCGCAGCCCCAGCAGGCCACGGGTCGGCACACGATACTTCACGATTGTGCTGCCCGAGCTGGAGGGGTGGAGATGAGTGGAGAGGGGTGGAGAGGGTGAAGCGAGAAGAGGGGGATAAGGAAGAGTTGGGAGATTGCAGGGAATCGACACCGAATCTTGTAACCATATTTCACAGGTGACTCACCTGAACGCCCTGGCGTCTCACCTGGAGGCCTGTAGGTCGAGCATTTGCCCCTTGCGTGTGCCCAGCATGTCCACCACAGCTCCCACATACTCCTCTGGGACCTCCACCACCGCTTCCTGCAAACATTCAACAATAAGCCGAGGGGCACATGGGATGGAGTGCGAACTTAGGATGGGAGTGCGCACAGCACAGAGCAACAGGGGAGGGTGTGTGCCCAGCATGTCCACCACAGCTCCCACATACTCCTCTGGCACCTCCACCACCGCTTTCTGCAAACATTCAACAATAAGCGAGCACTTAGGATGGAATGCGAAAGAGTCTGAAAGAGTTCCATGCTTTTTTGTGGCTTAACCAGCTTTGTCAAATTTATTCCCTCCACGTCCAAAGCCTCTGTCCCAAGCCTTCAAACTCGCTTCTGACTCTTCCGCACCTTCATTTCTCTAACACACCTGGTTTGATACCTATCAGACCCTCGACTCATAAAGCTAGCAACCCCCTATATATGTCTCTACCGCGCTCCTTTGTTGAGGCCCTTCAGAAACTGTGACGCTCCATTCTCTAAACCTCCACCACCCTACAACAACTCCTCACCTCATAGGGCTCTAGTGTCTTGCCATCCTCCACTTTGTTAATGACCCGTGGTGGCCTTCACGAATTCCTAAGACCCCCACCCACCTCATACGGCTCCTCATCTCATACTGCTTCTCACCTCATACGGCTCTAGCGTCTTGCCGTCCTCGATCTTGTTAATGACCCGTGGTGGCCCCACCATGAACTCGTACCCCTCCCTCCGCCTTTTGAGGCGCCTCAAAAGTCAACTCCTCACCTCATACGACTCCTCACCTCATACGGCTCCTCCTCACCTCATAAGGCTCTAGCGTCTTGCCGTTTTCAATCTTGTTAATGACCCGCGGTGGCCCCACCATGAACTCGTACCCCTCCCTCCGCCTGCCAGGGCAAACCAGCACGGCACGTGATGGGAGTGGGAGGATAGATAAATACGGTTTACTTGAGAGCTGACTCGAAAGCCTAAGGAGCGCGTAGAGGAGAGAGAAGGGGTCGGGAGGATTGAGACGATGGCGGGAGGGAGCAGAGCCAGCAACTAACCATCTGAACCCACTGGAGCCACAAGACGCTTTCGCTGGAAGGGAGGGAGAAGGGCCAGCGCTTTCACAAGACGCTTTCAGGCGCACTCACATGTTTTCAATGAGGATGGTGATGTGAAGGGTGCCGCGTCCGCTGACCAGGAATGTGTCCGCGCTCTCCCCGTCCTCCAACTTCATCGCCAGATTCCTCTCCAGCCCCCTCATCAGCCGGTCCCTCAGCCCCACTCAACCCTTCCCTCAACTTGCCCTCACCTCACATGCACCAGAGCCACATCGGAACTCAGAACCATAAAGGCCCTCTCAGACGCACAGCACACTCACATGTTTTCAATGAGGATGGTGATGTGCAGAGTACCGCGTCCGCTGACCAGAAACGTATCAGCGCTCTCCCCGTCCTCCACCTTCATCGCCAGATTCCTCTCCAGCTCCCTCATCAGCCGGTCGCGCAGGTTCCGCGACGTCACGAATTTCCCCTCGCGCCCCGAGAACGGCGACACGTTCACGGAGAAGCTCATCTTGACCGTCGGTTCCTCCACCGAGATCGTCGGCAGCGCGTCGCCGTCGCGGTCCGCGATCGTCTCGCCGATCTGCACGTCTGGCAGGCCGGACAACGCGCAGATGTCTCCCGCCTCCACGTCATCAACGGGAACTCGTGCGAAGTTATCATACACGAACAGCTCCACGACCTTCGCCACGCGGCAGGCTCCATCCGGCGTGCAGATCTTCGCCACCTGCCCGCGCGCGATCTTCCCCGCGTGCACGCGCCCAATCGCAATCCTCCCCTTATGCTCGTCATAATCCAGGTTCGTCACCAGCATCTGGAGCGCCGTGTCCTGCTGCACTTTCGGCGCCGGAACGCTCTTAATAATTGTCTCAAACAGCGGCTCGAGATCGTCAGAAAGCGCATCGGGCTCCATACCAGCCTTCCCTTGAATCCCACTCGCGTAGACAGTAGCAAAGTCGCACTGGTCGTCGGTGGCTTCGAGCTCGCAGAAGAGCTCGAAGGTGGCGTTGATAACGTGCTGCACGCGCGCCGCTGGGCGGTCCACCTTGTTCACCACCACCACCACGCGGTGCCCCAGCTCTAGAGCTTTCTTCAGCACGAACCGCGTCTGCGGCATAGGACCCTCCACTGAATCAACCTGGGAGGATCGTAGGGAGCAGGGGAGGTTGGTTGGTTCATGAGCTGTCTCATTATACCTGCTAACAAATACCCACACCAGTATAAGACTCACCAGAAGCAGCACTCCATCAACCATGTTGAGCACGCGCTCCACCTCGCCGCCGAAGTCGGAGTGGCCGGGCGTGTCGATGATGTTGATCTTGGTGCCGCGGAACCGGATGGCCGTGTTCTTGCTCAGGATCGTGATGCCTCGCTCGCGCTCCAGGTCGTTGCTGTCCATGATGCGCTCCTGCATCTGCTGGTTGTCGCGGAACACCTGATAACGCGTACGAGGGAGCGAGGGAGGAACGAGGGTTGAAATGAGGGGTGTCAGCAACAGTTTTAGTGAATTCAAATACTTTGTTATTTCCACCTGAGTTTAGCGATAACGGTTACAATGGATACCGTACGCGGTTCCCACACCTTCGCACGAGGTTGTGGTTTCTGAGTGTTAAATGGGTGGTCGCACGAGGCGTCGCCGGACGCACCTTGGCTTGTCTGAGCATGGCGTCGACGAGCGTCGTCTTGCCGTGGTCGACGTGTGCGATGATGGCGATGTTGCGAATGTCGGAGCGGGTTACCAGCGTTGATTCGTCTGCGACAGAAGCAACTAAACCAGAAGGCATGATGACGTGTCAGTGCTTGGGGCTCCGACTAGTTAAGGCTAAAGAAAGTCACGGCATTGTTCAAAGGGTGGAGATAAAAACTGAAGCGTGTTTTGTGTGTTCACATACCAGGAGCCTCAACGGCGACGGCGGCGCGCACTGCGGAGCGGCCATGGATCCTCTGCTTGGATTGAAGCCGATCGATAGGTGCGCTTTGAGTTGTAGCGGCGAAGCTTTGACCCAGCTGTTGGAAACAGTGACAGAAAGAAAACCAAAAAAGAGCAGTAAGTCCAGAATCATGATGTCGCCCAGAAATGGCTGTGCCTTGAACCTTCGTTGCGAGCATAATCCGGCTAGTTCGGACAGATGTAATAATGGGTGAGAGAGAAAAGAGAGCGAGAGAAGGCATAAACCCGGGATAATATTTCAATCTGACGTGACGTGATCATGTAGTGTTAGGCGTGGCCCAAACCCTTGTGGCCTAGGGCTATATAATCGTGTTCGGATTCAAGTTGAGGGTTCTTGAGAAACGGGCAGATAGGCTTGTTGCATTTCACTGACAATTAGCCCATAAGGTGAGGCTTCTTGAGGTACGGACTTAACGTACGCCATCGACCTCTGATTGCTATCATCCGCAAGTGTTCGTTCATCACATTCTTACATGTCCTCCACGGAAGGTCTTGACTCCATTTAACCGCACACTCCGCTTGGAAGAGGCGGCAGGACGAGCCACGGCGGACTCGAGCAGAGCAGCCTCGACGGGCGCACTGCGGATCGTGACTGCTTGCGACATGATTGCACAGGAGGCGACCGGCAACCAACAGATATCAAGGTAAAGCCCCTGAAAGTAACTGAGTGTCTCTTCTCACAGCTCACAAGGAGCTGAGTACGAGAGAGAATGCTGAGAGGAGAAAAGCAGGAGGGGAGCTTCAACTGACGCTGTTGCCAGGTTTTGATGTGATCAAGAGATCACTGATTGTTCGAAACCTGACTCCCCCAACCCCAGCCAACCTGAGAGTAGAGTCCAGCCAAACTGCCTGAACCAGCTGCCGCTTTGTGATGCGAGTTTTGGGAAGGATCAATATATAGTTATCGAGATTTATCGCTTTGGAACGCAGCGAAATCTACGAAACCGTGCGAGCTTTCCCACACCCTCATCTTCATCAGGTGTCAACCAATCGGAAACCAAGCACGCCTCTTAGTAAAGCACCAGGAAGTGTGGAATTCGCAAGGCAATAGTTTTGCAGTCGAGGCGCTGTAGGAATAAATTGATGCGTTTGCGGCTGTGATAATGAGCCACGTGTGTCTAGCCGCAGAGGAAATCCATTCAGCCCACCAGGCGCTGACAGGCCCGCGGAATTCCCGATGACTGGATGTTACGACGCGGCAAGCCTACTCAGCTCGTGTGAAGCCACGCTGCCTCCTCGCTGTGTGGTTGAACGGGCTCCCTGGGCGCCAGGATGTGTGGGATTGGAGGCGACGTGGAAAGTAGCTAATGGTCAAGGCTTCGCTGCAAAAGTGCCTACCAACCTCTCGTCACGAAAGCTGGCACATGGAGTAGCCAGGGTAACCTACGTCGCTAGCTGGTATGTGTAACATTCGTTGAAACCATGAACAAATACATCTAATCGTGCTAATGAGCAACTCCCCAGACGTGTCCACGCAATTCTCTGACGGCTAGAAGCTGTTTTGAAGGGGTATCCTGCCCAAGCTGCCCAGCGTTGCTCACCAAACAGAAATGGGAAAAGATCATACAGGGGCCGAACAGTGCCCGAGAGGTGATAAAACAGGGGCCAAGAGGCCCGGAACTAACCAAACCACTGCGCAAAAAGGTATTTGCAGAGGGGCATCATTTATTGAACGTATGTCCGTTAACAATTCGCATTTTCTCTCGCGCGTCATTTTCATGGAAATAGTTACTGATTCATCACCTTCCACCCAATAGCGTCGTTTAGCAAACCAGAAACTCTTAGGGCAGCCAAAAACAATTAAAAAAACCCTGGGGAACCTGGATGCATTTTCGGGATGGATCAACCCTAAAAACGGGAACCTTCGTTGTGTTTAGGGTTGATGCCTCCCTAGTCGCATCCATTTCCAAATGGGTAATATTTTTTGTTCTGCGCGTTTCCGATCAGGTAGTGATATGTATCACCCATAATAAAATATATTTTTTTTGACTCACAAATTAACACAGCAATATTTACTTCCAGAAGAACGCGATGCGCGCGTAGTAGTAGACGGCGGTCGTAACCCTTTTTAAAATAAGTTGGACACGAAGTTTGGTGCTGGCAGCATTTCTCTTTCAGTCACGGTTCGGCTTGTTCGCCTAGCCTCTTGGGCAGCTCGGGGTTGAAATCCTACGGTCGAGATTTTCTGACCCTACTTCGGTCATCTCTCTGGCACTCTTCGGCCCCAATTTGATCATTTCCCAACAGAAATCATTGCAACACCATGTTTCACACGCATGGCGTGATTCATGTCTGCTGAAAGCAGCCGTCATCCGTGGCCCACTTGACGTGGCATTGAGTTAAAGTATGTTGAGTTCCCCGCTTTTCTGCATGACAGCAATGCTGTCAGAAGCCGGTTTGGGGTACAGTACCACCGACTGCCCATTGAATGAGCAGCACCGTCATGACCGTCCGATCAAACAAGAATGACATTGGAATCCACGCAGCCAACCAGCACAAGCCTGCAGTGCCCGCGCCCTTTTCCCCTGTCCCTGCCGCACCCCAAATTCGCGCCATGCGCCTGCGTAAAAAAATCTTCCTCTTCCTCTCGGCGCTCACCACCCACCTAGCCGCCAGTTCTCCATGCCGCCAACAACACAGCCTTTTTTTTTCCGAGAAAAATATAGACGTACCATCACATCGTCTGTTTCAGTGCGGTGGTAGGGTTCTGTTGCGTGGTACTGAGGCTTACAAACCGTGGTTCTTTGATATTTGTCAATTGAGAAACTTGTCAAGCTCCCCTTTCTCCACCTCTCCGCAGAAGAGCATTGTCCTCGGTTTGTTCAAAACTTGAGGCCTGATGCATGTTTCATGTCTAGAATCTGCTGCTTGTGCAGACTTCCACAGGTCTCAACAAACATCAAGCATCTGTCTGCTGTTCCTGCCATGCTAGCTCCTCCCCTCATATCATTTTCAGGCTTCAAAATCTGCGCACCGCTCGAACCCTAATGTGTTCTGCATCCGCATCTCCCTGAATGGTGCAACCGAGCTCGCTGATACCTAGGGACGAGTTTAGTATGAGCCGCGGAATCATGGGGTTCATTGACGGGATTTCGGGGAACCTTAACAACATGAGCATGCCATCGATGGGCTCCGATGTCGATCCTTTCAAGGTCGCAGCGGGCTTAGCCGTTGCCGTCGGAGTCGCCGCGATCGGCGGCGTCGCTGCAGCGGTGACGGTCGGAGGCATCATCGTTCTGCGGGAGCAGTACGTTTCGTACTTGACGCGTACTATCTCAGCGTCTCTTCAGTACTCTTGTTTTTCGACCTGCTCAAATCCTTCCCAGACAGAACTAAGCTGCAGCGCCATGTCCGCGTGTTTCAAGCTACATGTGTCCACATCTCTCCGTCTGGTTTGCATCCTGCAGGGGCCAGTTCATGCTGCCGTGGGAGGACAAACCCAAGGCTGCCAGGCCAGTGCCGCTGACGGTGCAGCAGTGGAGGGATTGCTTTGACGACGCCACCGGTCGCCTGAAGGGCGGCGGCGAGACGGCTATCGGCCGTGTCCGGCTTGGGGTAAGCGACTTCGTTTTGCGCTCTTGAAGGTACTTAGCACTGCTTTATTCGAGTGCGACGGATCTCCGTATCGTCTCTCTGGATGAGGTTGTGTTGTAACTATGTGTTTCACAACTGGCTCAGTGCGAATCTGTCAAGTATTGCTAACTTACTCTCTTTCCCCCACTTCCCCTCTCCCTCCTCCCCGCGTATCGCTTTGTGCCTGGCGCCGTATTCGCAGGGATGCGATGCAGAGATCAGAGCCGAGGTCTGGCCGTTCCTCCTTGGCCTGTAAGCGCATCTGCAAGCACTTCCCTTCCCCATCCCCATCCTCTCCACCCTCCTCTCTCTCTCGCCCTCTCTCGTTTCCCTCGCCACTTCTCCCCCCTCCGAGCCTCTTCACTTCCTCCCGTTCTCACCTCGTTCACATCTTCGCAGGCTATGAGGGATTCAGTATTAATGATTTACTTCCGCGCTTTTTATTTTCTTCTTACTAACGGCGCGCTCCTTTCCTGGTTGTCGCTAACGCGTTACGATATGTGCTCCAGGTACGAAGCGGAGAGCACGGAGGCGGAGAGGGCGCAGCTGCGCGCGCAGAGGCGCGTGCTGTACGAGGAGATCCGCGCGATTGCTGCGCGCGTGGCGGTGATTGCGCGGCAGGCGGAGGAGGAGGCGACGAGGAGGATGAGGGAGGAGGAGGAGCGGGAGGAAAGGGAGGAGCGGGAGAGGGAAGAGAGGGAGAGGAAGGAAAGAGAGGAGAGGGAAAGGGAGGAAAGGGAGAGGGAGGAGAGAGAGGAAAGGGAGGGGGAGGAGTCGGAGAGAGGAAGGAGCAACGAAGGCGGCAGGAGTCAGGAGAAAGTCAGATCCAGCGTCAGAGGGGATGGGGGCGGTGCTGGTGATGGAAGTGGGAATGGAAATGGCGACGGTAGTGGCGAAAATGATGGTACCAATGGTGGTGAAAACAGTGGGGGAGGTAACCCGAGCGACGACGAGTTCAGTGATGCTGTGTGCGTGGACTCCGCGTGCGCCAGTCTGTCCGTATCCACCGAGTCTTTCGTGGATGTCGCACGTGAGGAGGCTGCTCATGCCGCTGCCGCTGACGCCACAACTGGTTCTGGTTGTGACCAAGGTGCTGCCTCGAGTGGTGCTGCTGATGACGTCTTTTCAGGCGGAGCAGGAGAAGCAGAAACAGTTGCAGGCGCAGGAGCAGGCGGAGTTGAGAAGGCCGATAGATGCGAGGCCAGAGAAGTCGATAACGAAGTTGATGATGATAGGGATGATGATGGTAATGATGTATCAGCTGAGCACCTCCAAGAGCACCCGCTAGACTGTAAGATACCGGAGTGCTTTCGCCCGCGTTCCAGCAGCAGCAGAGGAGGAGCAGCAGGAGGCGATTCAGGAATCGGCAGGGGCAGCACCTGCGGGCGAGGCAGCGGGTCCCTGGAGAATTTCGTCACCTGGCAACGTATAATGCGGTTGGATGCGGTGCGAATGAACGCGGCGTGGATCCCGTACTCTACTCAGAAGGCCTTCCCGCCCGAAGAAGCACTAGAGGCGGCAGCAGCTGCCGGCCTGCCGGAACACGGACACCTGTCGCCGCCCCAACGGCTGCATGCCGCCCGGCTGGTGGCGATTTTGGAGGCATATGCCGTGTATGATCCCGAGGTGGGGTATTGTCAGGGCATGAGCGATCTTCTATCCCCGTTTGTAGCTCTTTTGGAGGAGGATTCGGAGGCGTTCTGGTGCTTCGTGGCGTTCATGCAGCGAGGGGGTGTGGGCAGCAGCGACTGCTCTGGCTTTGCTGACAGCGATGGCAACAGCAGCAGTAGTAGCCAGCGCAGCGGTAGCAGCGCGGTAAACGACGGCAGTGGAAGCGACAATCCCACCACCATCTCTAGCACGTGCAGTGCAGGCGGTGGCGCGCGGCACAACTTCAGAACGGACGAACGAGGCATCCGGCGCCAGCTGGCGCGGGTAGCAGCACTGCTGCGCACAGCAGACCCTCCTTTATACGCGCATTTAGAGGCGGTGGGGGCGGAGAGCTGCATGTTTGCGTACCGGTGCGTAGTGGTGCTGATGAGGCGAGAGCTTTCGTTTGAGCACACGATGTGCCTGTGGGAGGTCATGTGGGCCGATGCCGCTGCCGCTGCTGCTGCTGCTAATGTGGCCCGTGCTGCTGCTGCTGCTTCTGCTCCCCCCGCTGTTGGTGCGGCTCCCTCTGCTAGTCCTGCTGTTGTTCCCGCTGCTGCTGCAACCGTCGCTCCCACTGCTGCTGCTGCTGCTGTTGCTGGTGCCGATGCGGCTGCTGGTGGTGCTGTGGCCGATGCTGGCACTGAGGGCAGTGGAACCGGAGCAGATAAAGGTGGGGACTCGTCAGGCGCCACACGCAACGAGGTAGAGACTGGGGAGGATTGCGAGTGGGAGAAGGTAGAAGCGGAGGAGGCAGAGGACAAGGGAGAGGAGGGAGGGGAGAGCAAGGGAGAGGAGGGAGGGGAGGGGGAAAGGGAGCGCTGGGAGAGGGACGACGAGAACGCTCCTCTGCTGGACAACGGATGGGGCGGTGCTTTTGGCTGGGCGGCTGGTGATAAGATCTCTGGTTCCTCTGACGTCACCACCACCACCACTGCCACCGCCACCACCAGCAGCAGCAGCATCAGCACAAGTAACACATCTACAGGCAAAGTTACAAGCAGAGACACGAGCAGGGATACAAGCAGGGATACAAGCAGTGTGAGCGGCAGCAGGAGGAAGAAGGCGTGGCAGGAGTGCCGCCCACGCCCGGACTTCCTGCTCTTTGTGGTGGCGGCCATTCTGGTGAGCCGCAGGGAGCAGGTGCTGTGCTGCGAGGGGCTGGACGAGGTGCTGCTGCTCTGTAACAGCCTGTCGGGACAGTTAGACGTGTGGGAGCTCATGCATTGTGCCAGGCAGCTCGCCGCTCGCCTGCCTTGAGAGGCTCAAGGGGAGCCGGGAGCCGCAGTGAGCAGGTGCTGTGCTGCCAGGGGCTGGACGAGGTGCTGCTGCTGTGCAACAGCCTGTCGGGGCAGCTGGACGTGTGGGAGCTCATGCACTGCGCCAGGCAGCTCGCTGCTCGCCTTCCTTAGGTGGCCAAGGATTCGTTTGTTAGCTGCATTCTCCGCAACCAGCTGCCCTCCTGCACTGGAGGGGGATTTGACCTGCTTATGGCCTGGAAGGGACCGCTGCCATTCCACCACTCCCATTTCTCCACTCCTCCCCTCCCGGTTCTCCGATTTCGCCACTCCCATCGTGCCACTCCTCTTGCGACTCCCTTTCTGCACTCCCATCCCGCTGTATATAGCGCGCATTTTGTGGCTTGGTTTTTTTCCTTGGAAGTAAATGCAGCAAATTCATGAGCCATGGCTGCTGCTACATGAATGGGAAAATGCATTTTCTTGCAGGCTGCTGCCCGTTGTAACAAAAATCTGTTCATTGTGCTGTCTTATTGTTTAGTGGATTCCACATGCTGTACTGTTGTACAAACTACCAGTACCATGTACCATACTGGTGGGTCACAGCCTCACTCCTTCGGTCTGTTGCAGTACAATATATTGATGGACTCCTTGCTGAGGCAAACTGACAACTCTGACAACAAAAACGGCTCCATCCAAAGTTACATTATTCTCTTTCTCTGAGGAATAAAAAAAAACACGGTAGCGGTGCCTTACTCTAGCACCTTCAACCCCTTTCTTTGCCTTGCGCTCGTGTTTTTCACCAACCATGCTCCTCTGAGGCTTCTCCACAATCACCGCACTGCACGCCTTGGCCAGTCACGGATCTATCTGATGTCCCTCACCTTCTCTGCCATCCCTGCGCCATGCACACACCCATCAGCTCTTCGCCTTCTGTTTCTCCGCCCTGCGCTTGCGCTTCTCCGCCTTGTTTCTCTGAAGTTTCTCTGCAACAACAGCGTTGCGCCCTTTGGCCAGCCGCTCTCGGATCTCTTTCACCTTCTCTGCCATACCCGTGCCGTCTCCCCCCTCTATGGACGCCTGGGATGATGCGAGAAGAGACTGGGGTGACAAGGAGCAGGGGGGAGGGGGTGGATGGGGAGGGGGTGGATGGGGAGGGGGTGTATGGGAAGATATGATTCAACAGCAGCGTTGCGCCACTTGGCCAGCCGCTCTCGGATCTCTTTCACCTTCTCAGCCATGCCTGTGCCGTCTCCCCCCACTATGGACGCCTGGGATGATGCCAGAAGGGACTGGGGTGACAGGGAGAGGATGGGGAGAATATTCGGATAAGTAAGCTGTTTTGGACGTTGTGGCACGAAACTTGCAGACGAGGATTTCATGAACATTCAGGGGGGAAACTTGAAGCAAAAATTCAAGGGAACTTTCAAATCAGGGAGAACTCGTACGGAAACAACAGGGATGCTGCAGCTCACCTTGATGTGGCTTATGGCAGCCAAGTTGCATCCCACTGTTGCTACCGCGCCCTGGCATGCCGTATCACAGCACACACACCATGCCATGCCATCGCACAAAGCACACACACCATCCCATGCCATCGCACAAAGCACACACACCATCCCATGCCGTCGCACAAAGCACACACACCATCCCATGGCATCGCACAAACCACACACACCGTCCCATGGCACGCCATGCCATGCCATGCCATAACACACCCGAATATCCACCAATTAGCAAAACGATTGTGACTAGTAAGAACACTTGAGGTTGCTACCTGTTGGCATGCAACTGTGAAAAGATGCAAGTGCACACATATGCGCAACTGAATATGCACATGTGCACAATAAATTGTGCATGTGCACAATAAATTGTGCATGTGCACATACCCTCTCTACCTTGAATGACGCCTGTAACAGTGTGTGCGCGGCAGCAAGCAGCAGGCGGGCGGTGAGCAGCAGGCGGGCGGTAGGCGTGGCAATGAGCTGCGAGTGGCTGATGCATTGAGTCGCCCTCAACCCCACCATCTCTCATACCCCATCCCTACACCCATCCATACCTTGAGAGACGCTCGTAGCAGAGTGTGCACGGCAGCCAATAGTGGGCGCGCAGTGGGCGTTGCGACGAGCTGTGAGTGGTGGATGCGGACGAGGGAGACGAGCAATCCTGCTTCCCAGCCCCTCCATCCCCCTCTCCCCGTAATCAGAAACCATACCTTGAGTGAGGCCCGTAGCAGTGTGTGCACGGCAGCCAGTAGCGGGCGGGCGGTGGGCGTGGCGACGAGCTGTGAGTGGTGGATGCGGACGAGGGAGACGAGAGCTCGGGCGGCGAACTCCAGCTGTGGCAGCGGGCGGTGCAGCCAGTGGGGGGCGAAGTGGAGAATCCGCAGAGCCACTGTGAATGGCAGCACCAGCAGTGCTTGCTCGAGCTCGGAAGGCTTGACTCTGGCAAGAGCTCGCAGCACAAAGGCCGCTGGCGCATGGCCGAGGAGGAGCACGTTGGGCTGGAAGGAGGGGAGCAGCGATGTGGGGTCGCTGGGGTCCTGCAGTGGTGATGGGGAGAGATGGGAAGAGATGGGAAGAGAGCACATGCAGGGGGGGATATAGAAATTGAGCACGCACGCAGCACAAAAGCAGAGAGCGAGTGGCCTAGGAGCAGCACGTAGGGCTGGAAGGAGGGGAGCAGGAAGGAGGGGTCGCTGGGGTCCTGCAGTGGTGATTGGGAGAGAGAGATGGGAGAGATGGGAGAGATGGGAGAGATGGGAGAGATGGGAGAGATGGGAGAGATGGGAGAGATGGGAGAGATGGGAGAGATGGGAGAGATGGGAGAGATGGGAGAGATGGGAGAGATGGGAGAGATGGGAGAGATGGGAGAGATGGGAGAGATGGGAGAGATGGGAGAGATGGGAGAGATGGGAGAGATGGGAGAGATGGGAGAGATGGGAGAGATGGGAGAGATGGGAGAGATGGGAGAGATGGGAGAGATGGGAGAGATGGGAGAGATGGGAGAGATGGGAGAGATGGGAGAGATGGGAGAGATGGGAGAGATGGGAGAGATGGGAGAGATGGGAGAGATGGGAGAGATGGGAGAGATGGGAGAGATGGGAGAGATGGGAGAGATGGGAGAGATGGGAGAGATGGGAGAGATGGGAGAGATGGGAGAGATGGGAGAGATGGGAGAGATGGGAGAGATGGGAGAGATGGGAGAGATGGGAGAGATGGGAGAGATGGGAGAGATGGGAGAGATGGGAGAGATGGGAGAGATGGGAGAGATGGGAGAGATGGGAGAGATGGGAGAGATGGGAGAGATGGGAGAGATGGGAGAGATGGGAGAGATGGGAGAGATGGAGAGATGGGAGAGATGGGAGAGATGGGAGAGATGGGAGAGATGGGAGAGATGGGAGAGATGGGAGAGATGGGAGAGATGGGAGAGATGGGAGAGATGGGAGAGATGGGAGAGATGGGAGAGATGGGAGAGATGGGAGAGATGGGAGAGATGGGAGAGATGGGAGAGATGGGAGAGATGGGAGAGATGGGAGAGATGGGAGAGATGGGAGAGATGGGAGAGATGGGAGAGATGGGAGAGATGGGAGAGATGGGAGAGATGGGAGAGATGGGAGAGATGGGAGAGATGGGAGAGATGGGAGAGATGGGAGAGATGGGAGAGATGGGAGAGATGGGAGAGATGGGAGAGATGGGAGAGATGGGAGAGATGGGAGAGATGGGAGAGATGGGAGAGATGGGAGAGATGGGAGAGATGGGAGAGATGGGAGAGATGGGAGAGATGGGAGAGATGGGAGAGATGGGAGAGATGGGAGAGATGGGAGAGATGGGAGAGATGGGAGAGATGGGAGAGATGGGAGAGATGGGAGAGATGGGAGAGATGGGAGAGATGGGAGAGATGGGAGAGATGGGAGAGATGGGAGAGATGGGAGAGATGGGAGAGATGGGAGAGATGGGAGAGATGGGAGAGATGGGAGAGATGGGAGAGATGGGAGAGATGGGAGAGATGGGAGAGATGGGAGAGATGGGAGAGATGGGAGAGATGGGAGAGATGGGAGAGATGGGAGAGATGGGAGAGATGGGAGAGATGGGAGAGATGGGAGAGAGCATGCAGGGAAGGATATAGAAATTGAGCAAAAGGCACAAAAGGAGTGGGTGAGTGGCCGAGGAGCAGCACGTTGGGCTGTTAAGGATGGGAGCAGCGAGGTGGGATCGCTGAAGACCTGCAGCAATCGGGAGAGATGGGAAGAGAATTAGGAAAGAGATGGGAGGAGAATGGGAAAAAATATGCAGGGAGAGGAGACCTACCTTGATGAAGGGGCCCGAGCTACCTTCATCCGAGCCCGAGCCTCCTCCATTGACGCCGCCAGCTCGTTCCATTGCCTCGATGAAGCAGTTAGCCCTATCTTAATGAAGATAGATCTACTTTGATGAAAGAGGTGAGGCGACCAGCTCGACCCCCCTTGAAGAAGTTGGATGGACCTATCATGCTTTTGTGAATCATGCTTTGAGTTTGAGACGTCTCAAATCTTTTGACTTACCTTGATGAAGAGAACCATTCAAGCCTCCTCCATTGACGCCAGCTTCCACCACCTCGGTGATCGATTCTGCCGCCTAAACCGTCTTCTGCGTGCCATTTGAGGCGCCTCAAAAGCATACCTAAATGAAGGAAATTGTTCCGGGTCTACCTCAGAAGCCTCATCCATTCCATCAACGCCATCTCTACCTTCAAAAAACCCATTCAATTTTCCTTCTTGAAGTCACCCATCACCATAATTCCCCCAACCAAGCCCACCTTGATGAAGGGAGCCATGCGAGCTTCTTCCATGGATGCCAGCTCCACCGCCTCGATGAAGGCACATGTACCTTAATGAGGGAAAGCATGTGTTGTGACGTGGATGACGGTACGTCTACATTGTCAACTCACCTTGATGAAGGGAACCATCCGAGCCTCTTCCATAGAAGCCAGCTCCACCGCCTCTATGATCGAGTCTGCCGCCCAAACTGTCTCCTGAGTGCCCCTCGCCGCCCCTCCCACGCCGCCCAGCTCCCCCGCCGCGCCACCCGGCCCCGCCGCCTCTCCCCCTTCGCCGCCCTCCTCGTCGTCGCCCCCTTCCGGGCGGCGTGCGTCGGTTGGTAGTGTCACGGCCCGGGCTTCGAACATGGCTTCAAGCTGCTTCTCACGCTCCTCCTGAGATAGGGGAGGGAGGTAGGAAGGGGGGAGGTGTGTGTATGGGGGGGGAGAGGAGGGGGAGGGGGGAGGTGGGGGGATGGGGATGAGTGAGGTTGCTTCGAACATGGCTTCGAGCTGCTTCTCCCGCTCCTCCTGATAAAGGACAAGGAAGTTTGGAGACGGGACAGGGTAAAAAAAGCAACAGATACATTTTCATGCGCTGCCCTGGTTAACCTGCTATGCTCGCCATGCCCCCCTCCTCCATTTCGCTGCTATTTATATATGTAAGATACGTACAACTACATATTATCTCAAGGCAGAGACTTTCCCCCCCCTCCTACATTCCCCACCTCGAGGAAGAAACGCTCGTCGGTGCGCTGCCAGCGGCGGATGGAAGACCGCCAGCTCGCTAATCCATGTCTTCCCAACCCTCATTGTCCCCCATCCCCCCATTTCTCCCCTTGCCCCAATCATCACAGACCTCGAGGAAGAATGGCTCGTCGGTGATGTTGAGATCACTTTTGAAATTTCTGAAAAGTTATTTCTAATCCATGTCTTCCCATCCCAACCCTCAATGCCCCCCATCCCCCCATTTCTCCCCTTGCCCCAATCACCCACCTCGAGGAAGAAGGGCTCATCGGTGCGCTGCCAGCGGCGGATGGAGCGATCGTGCGAGCCGGACACAAGGAAGTCGCCCAGAGGGCTGATTGCCAGCGACCAGACCTGGCAGGGGGAAGGTGGGAAGGTGGGAAGGACGTTTCGAAAACTCTTTGAGCTGTTAGAGTTGAGTGGATTGTCAAGTGATGCAGACATTCCACTGCCTGAAGATGCTCTTGCTGTTGCCAGAATCGTGTAATGCATCCCTTCCCACCGCAACTCTCACTCAAATGGTACCAAAAGAAGAAAAACAAAATGAATAAAAGGGTTCTTTTTAGAGTTCTCAGAAAACTCTCGGTACCATCCTCGGACTGAGGCATTGGCAAGCAGTGAGGCAATTTCAGTCGACAAAGACAAGTCAAGGATTGCTCACCTCAGCGTGGTGCCCGTCCAGTGTGAGCAGCAGCTGGAACTTGTCCGCATCCCAGTATCTAACGTCGGCAGTGCTGCCAAGTGCGCACAGGTCAAAGCACATGACTCACCTCAGCGTGGTGCCCGTCCAGTGTGAGCAGCAGCTGGAACTGGTCTGCATCCCACCTAGTATGACATATCGTCAGAGCTGGTGAGGGAAGTCTATGAACCCAAGTCAAAGCACACGCATTCAAGCACACGCATTCAAGCACACGCATTCAAGCACACGCATTCAAGCACACGCATTCAAGCACACGCATTCAAGCACACGCATTCAAGCACACGCATTCAAGCACACGCATTCAAGCACACGCATTCAAGCACACGCATTCAAGCACACGCATTCAAGCACACGCATTCAAGCACACGCATTCAAGCACACGCATTCAAGCACACGCATTCAAGCCCACCTCACCTCAGCGTGGTGCCCGTCCAGTGTGAGCAGCAGCTGGAACTTGTCTGCATCCCAGTAGCGCACCCTTCTGTCCTTGCCGCATGAGAAGAAGTAGTGTGTGCGTGGGACAAACTTGACACTCATCACACTGGGAATGGAGGTGGGGAGGAGAGAGAGGGAAAAGGGGGTTGGGTGAGTCAAGGCCAACTTGTCTTCATCCCAGTACCGCACCCTCCTGTCCTTGCCACATGAGAAGAAGTAGTGCGTGTGGGAGACACATCTGACACGCATCACACTGGGAATGGGGTGACTTTTGAGTCGACTCAAAAGTCACATCTGACACGCATCACACTGGGAATGGGAGAGAGAGGTTGAAGGGGAGGGGGGGGGGGGGGTGGAGGAGAGGGAAGAGTGAGTCAGAGCCAACTTAGCGTTTCAGAATCATGCTTGGTGAATCAGACGGCGCAACGTCTCTGCGTTGCGGTGGCAGTCCCCGAAGTCGAGCCCCCAGATCTTGACGCTCTTGTCTGCTGAGCCCGACACTGCAAGCTGTGAGTACCTCCCCTGCTGTGGCCTGCCTTACCGCACCTGCTTCACCCACACACACTCTCTTCCTATTGCTGCTAGAAAGGTGCCCACTGCCCACCTGTCCTGGTGTGCAAACAGGGATCGGTGGCAATCTCCGAAGTCGAGCCCCCAGATCTTGACGCTCTTGTCTGCTGAGCCCGACACTGCGAGCTGCGAGTACCCCCCCTGCTATGGCATGCTTCACCCAAACACTCTGTCTTTACGCTGAAAGAATATTGCTCACCTGTCCTGGTGTGCAAACAGGGATCGATGGCAGTCCCCGAAGTCCAGCCCCCAGATCTTGACGCTCTTGTCTGCCGAGCCGGACACTGCAAGCTGCGAGTCGGATGAGATGTCGAGACAGATGGCTGGCAGCTTGTGGCCGTAGAGCGAGAGGAAGAAACGCAGCGAGTCGACAAAGAATACCTGCGGTGGAGGGAGGTGGGGTGCGGTGGAGGGTAGAGGGGAAAGGACAGCACAAGGACAGCACGGGAGATGTCGAGGCAGATGGCTGGCAGCTTGTGGCCGTAGAGAGACAGGAAGAAACGGAGCGAGTCGACAAAGAACACCTGGAAGGGGAAACAGGGACAGGGAAGGGAAGGGAAGGGAAGGGAAGCAGGGACAGAGATGTCGAGACTGATGGCTGGCAGCTTGTGGCCGTAGAGGGAGAGGAAGAAACGGAGCGAGTCGACGAAAAAGACCTGAGAGAGAGGGTGGGATGGGTGGGATCATTAGGAGAGAAAAGCATGTTGTTGAAAGAAAAAGAGTAAAAAAAGGAAACCAGCAGCTGCGATTGCTTTGCTTTCAGCACGTCTTGAACAATGGCTGTTGGTTATCCGCATACCTTAATGCTGGAGTCGAGGAGTGAGGGTGCAATGTATCAGCCAACTCGTAAGGTGAGTGCTCAGCATTTTCGAGATTTACCAATTCAAATGTGCTCACACAGCTGTTAGTGGCTCCCAATTCTCGTACCTTGATGGTGGAGTCGAGGAGCGAGAGAGCAATGTATCGGCCGTCGGGGCTAAACGCCACACTTAGCACGTCGTCGGACATCTTGAGTGTGCGCTTGTTCACCACTGTTAAGTACTTCTCTCCCCTCCCTGCTGCCAACGCATCCTGCCAAAAAAAAAAAAGACATGACTTGAGAGTTCATCAATATAGGAATAGCACGAAAATGTTCAGATATCGAGGAGAGCCGACACAACAGAGCAGGATCCGAAAAGCTTTCTTCTTTTGTTGAGTCGACTAAAAACGAGAGCCGACACAACATTGCAAACTCGGAAAAGTTTTCAAGCTAAGTTAAATAAAAAGGTTAGTTTGCTTTAAAGGGTTCCTTTAATATATTTTTTGTTTGGTATGTATTTCAAGAACTAGGATCAAATAGTGCGAGTTCCAACTTGTTGAACTCTCGGTGTTTAGTGTTTTACACACTGTCTTTTCCTACTTGCTTAAACCTACTCCTACGCAAGTGCAGCTCGCTGGAAAATGTCCCAAGGCCTCACCTTGTCTGCATCGGATCCCTTGAGTTGCATCTGAAACTCCCAGAACTGAGGGAGAGGGAAGGAGGAGCGGGTTGGGATGAGGGGGATGGCACACGGGGGTAGGGGAAGTGGTGGGGGAAAGGGAGAAGTGGGAGGTGTGGGGAAGAGAAAGGGAGAGACAAGCAATTATAATACTAGAAAGATTATAAAAATGCCAGGACCTTCTGTACTTAAAACACAAAAACCCTTACATGGTCACCTTCACACACACGCACACGCACGTGCGCGCGGGCGCACACACACAGACATACACACAGACACACACACAGACACACACACAGACACACACACAGACACACACACAGACACACACACAGACACACACACACACACAGACACACACACAGACACACACACAGACACAGACACAGACACACACACAGACACACACACAGACACACACACAGACACACACACAGAAACACACACAGACACACACACAGACACACACACACACACACTCACCTTCACACACACACACACACTCACCTTCACACACACACACACTCACCTTCACACACACACACACACACTCACCTTCACACAGACATCACCGGAGGCGGTCGTAAACCCAGTGTTATAAAGCAGGGGAGCCATACCCTACACTGCCTTGATTGATGAGAGCGGGCGCAGAGCACATGCACACACGCACACTCACTTTTGCACACGCCCTCACGCACTTGACACTCACACTCCCACCTTCACTCAGCCGTCAGCGGAGGCGGTTGCAAACCCAGTGCTATCAGGCAGGGCAGCCATGGCCCACACTACCTTGACTGATTGATGGGAGAGGGCACAGATCCCATGCAAATCTCGTACCTTCACTCACGCACACACTCCTACCTTGACACAGCCGTCTGCTGAGGCCGTCGCAAACCCAGTGTTATCAGGCAGGGCAGCCATGGCCCACACAGCCTTGTCATGCGCTGCTTGGATGAGAGCGGTGCGCTCCGCACTGGCCACTGAGAAGACCTCCAGGTCGCCTGCTTGTGTGCCTGCGATGGCCTGTGAAGTGAACCAAGAGGAGAGGGAGGAGACGAAGAGACGGGGAGAAGGAGGAGAGGGAGAGTCAAAATAAGTGACGCAAGAAATTGGAAAACGTCTCCCAGGATTCCACTCATCCCTACCCTCACCCCTCCTCCTTCCTTCTTCCCCCCCAGATTTCACGAATATTTATCACCTATCCTCCACTCTCCCCTCCCTTCCCCCATCTGACTCACATATCTATCCCCGGGGGCGAAGAGGCAGCAGAGGCCATAGCCCGAGTCAAAGGACGAGAGGCAAGCTCCAGTTACAGGGTTCCACACCTGTGGTGGGAGGGAGGAAGAGCACGAAAAAAGGGGGGGAGGGAGGGGAGGGGGGTGTTACAAGAGCGGAGTGAGAGGAGTGTGGGAGGATTGTGTGTGAGGCGATGAGGGAGAGCACGAGTGGGAGAGGAAGTGATTCGTAAATGGGTACCAAGACATAAGAGGGTAAGAGGCGTGGTATCAGCAGACCACCGCCCACCTTGGCGGAGCCTTTGGAAACGGACAAAAGAAGCGAGCCATCTGAGGAGAGTGCCAGCGAGCGCACGTCAGATCGGTGGCCGGCAGACTGCAGCGATGCCGCCCGGGTGCTGCTGTCCGCATGTATAGTGTGGATCTGGGAGAAAGGCGGAGGGGGGAAGGGGCGGCGCGGCGGGGATGGGAGGAGGGAGGAATGAGGGAGGAGAAAGGCATGTGGTGCTCCCACGCTCCCACTCAGTAACCTGTGCTGCCCGGGTGCTGCTGTCCGCATGTATAGTGTGGATCTGGAAGGATTGCGGGAAATGGGAGGATGGAGTGGGGAGATGGGAGAATGGAGGGAAGGTGACATCTGAATCTAAGCAAAAGTCACTGCCCGGGTGCTGCTGTCCGCATGTATGGTGTGGATCTGAGAGAAGGGGAGGGATGGGCGGATGGAGAGGGGGAGAGTGCTTCTGAGTCGACTCCAAAGCTGGTCGATGGCCGGCAGACTGCAGCGCTGCCGCCCGGGTGCTGCTGTCGGCGTGAATCGTGTGGACTTTTGAGTCGACTCAAAAGTCGCCCGGGTGCTGCTGTCGGCGTGAATCGTGTGGATCTGGAAGACAGGAGGGGGAAGAGAGGATTGAGAGGGTGAGGGAAAGACGGAGAGAGGGAGGGAGGGATAGAGGAATGGGTAAAGGGAACAGCATGGATTGGAAGGTGGACGAACAGAGAAGGGAGGGTTATGAAAGGGGGAGGGAGGCACGTGATGCTCCCACTCACGACCCTCACCTTTTCTCTCCCCTTTTCCCTCGTCTCACCTCCGTTTCTCCCTCGTCTCACCTCCCCATTCTTTCTCCTATAAGAACCCCCCTTGTTCGCCCGCGTCACACTGTTATTGTGCAGAGCTAGCGCCAGTGACGGCCGGCTCTACTGCTCACCCTCTTCTGCAGCACCTCACCTCACATCCCATAAGGACCCCCCCTCTCGGCACCTCGTCTCACCTCAACGCTGTTATTGTGCAGGGCCAGCGCCAGTGACGGCTCTGCTCCTCCTCCTCTCCCCGCTCCCCTCCCCCCTGCCCCGCCTGCCTTGGGCGCGAACGCAATGGCGCGCACTCGGTGCTTCAAACGAATGGTGAACATCGAGGCAAACTCGTCCGCCCCCTCCACAGTCACCCCCGCCCCTCCCTCCCCCTTCCGCTCCCACCCCTCCTGCCCTCCCTCCTCCCCTTCTCCTCCTCCCCCCTCCACCATTCCCTCCCCTGCCTCCTCACCCTCTCGCTCCCCCTCACCCCCCTTCCCTTTCCCCTTCTCCACCTGTCTCCGCCTCCGCCTCTTAGCCTGCCTAATCGCCTCACCAGGGCTCCTCACTCGGAACAGCTCAACAGCCTTTCCAGCACTCTGGCAGGCTAAGACTTTCCCTGGCCCGTCAAACCGCACACTTAAAGCCCGCTCTGCGCCCTGCCCCACGCCCACGACTCTCCTTATACTGCCGTGCGGTATAAGCACGTCCCACCGCCCTGCCACCCCGCCTCCTCCCCCGCTTCCTTTTGCTGCTCCTGCAATCCCTCCCCCTTCTCCATCCCCTTCCCCCTCCCCCTCCGCACTTTCCCCAGGTGCTCCCCCCTCCCCCTCCCCCAACACCCCCCGCTCCGCTCTGATTTGGAAAACCAAAACCTCAGGTTCGGTGCCAGCAGCGACGAGCCTCGGCAGGCTCGGGTGGACGGCGAGCGTCCAAAGCTCGCCGCGAGGCTCGGCGATGGTTTGGATGCAGTGGTGGAGGGCGAGGTCCCACACCTTGATCTGCGCGTCCCTGCTACAGCTGACTAGTAGTGTCTGATGCTGGACCGTGGAACCTTCCAGGAATGTGAGGTCGGTCACCTGGAAGGGGGGGAGGCGACAGAGCAAGAGAGGGGGGCAAGGGGAGAGGGGGTGGGGAAAGGGGTTGGCTGGGCGATGGTTTGGATGCAGTGGTGCAGGGCGAGGTCCCACACCTTAATCTGCGCGTCCCTGCTACAACTGACCAATAGGGACTGGTGCTGTACCATAGAACCTTCCAGGAAGGTGAGATCAGTCACCTGGACAGTTTGAGGGCGGGGGATGGGGGAGGGGAGGGGGGTGGAAAAGGAGGGAAGGGATGGGGTGTTAGGCTAGGGGTGTGGATGCAGTGGTGGAGGGCGAGCTTGATGTGCCTCTGGAGGGGAAAGGGAAGAGGGGGAAGAGGGGGGAAAGGGGACGGGGGAGGGAAGGGAGGGGGTGTTAGGCGAGGCTGTGGATGCAGTGGTGCAGGGCGAGGTCCCAGAATTTGATCTGCGCGTCCCTGCTGCAGCTGACCAGAAGTGACTAGTGCTGCACGCAGGAACCAGGAAGGTGAGGTCTGTAACCTGGACAATTTGCATGGCGGGGGATCGGGGGAGGGAGCGGGGTGAATGGGGGAGGAAAACGGGGGAGGGATGGCAGACCATGCGTGGATCCATCTACCTACCACACACACCTACATCCTCTCTTCACCATAACCCCCAAGCGCGACACTTTGACTGGCCTCTGCGTTCCTTCCGTATAAAGGATTTCGAGGCGCCTCATAACCTACATCTTCCCAAACTGGAGAAACTACATTAAAAACCTCAAAAACCCTGAACCCGGAATCTTGCCTGGTCGCTGTGGCCTCTCAGTCGCACAAGCCCCACTTCCCCCACCACGTCCCACACAACGATATCCGCTTCTCTGCCGTCCGATCATGTGTGAAAAAACAATCTTTCCACACCCACATACATTCTCCCAAACCCCGTTCAAACTCCCAAAACCCAGAACCCTACCTGGTCTCTGTGGCCTCTTAATCGCACGAGCCCCACTTCGCCCGCCACGTCCCACACCACGATATCCGCGTCTCTGCCGCCCGACGCTAGCAGCGCGCCGGCCGCGTTGTACCGCACCACTGCTACAGCCGACCTGTGGCCGGCAAGGCTTGTCCTACACGTGCCGTCCACCATGTTCCACACGCGCACCGTGCCGTCCGTGTACCCCGCCGCCACCTGCGTCGCGTCGGCCGGCGACGGGCAAATCGCCGTCACGTCCGCTACCGCCGGGACGGCATCATGCACGCTGCCGGCTGCGCTGCCGGCAGCACCCGCGCCGCCCCCTTGGCTGTAGCCGGCGCCGACCGGCTGTGGCGAGAGCTGCTGTAGAAGCGTGCCCTTTCGTACGTCCCATACGAGCAAGCGTTCGAGCGCGCCGGTTAGAATGGAGCGACCTGATTGGTCGAAACAGATGCTGCCGCAGGAAGGGGAGACTACGAGGCCGAATACCGCTTCCTGCTCGTAGCGCAAGTACGCTTTCACCATCGCGCCGCACTAATTTGACGCCAGCCTACTAGAGAACCTGGACAAGCTGATCCGAAGGACCTCGGTGGGGGGGTCGTGGGGACCAATATCGTGAGCTTGTAACACGAGAAAATGGCTTGGATATTTATTCACGTATGAATTTGTTATCGTCTCCATCACTCACATGGGGGTGTAGCTCACATGGTAGAGCGATCGCTTCGCATGCGATAGGTAAGGGGATCGATACCCCTCTCCTCCACAATCTCACCTACTGATTTTGGTTCGTACTTTCCACTTTCCATTTGTCATTGAATCTGTCCTTTTTTGTAGATGGCGCCTCCTCTCTCCTTGGCACATCTAGGGATCATTCCACAGCAGGAAGGGCAGGAGGAAGGCACCACCCCAGCAAGCATGCAGTCGAGGGTTGGGGCTGGGCTGTGGTCTTTTGAGATTTCCAACATTGCATCTTGATTCTATTATGCATGCACCCATCACAAGCACCATAACGCATTACACTGATTAGGTTTGCTGCAACTGTCAGAGGTTGTCAGAGACTGGAAAACACGGGTGATGTGGAGATTAATCTACGCAAATCCTTCCAGCCACGGGGATTGATAGGCATGAAATGCACCCCTGAAGCCCCTGCAAGCGATACGATAGGGGAACAGAGGGAGCGGGGGAGTGAGAACGCAAAGTGAACATCAATCTACGCAGGTCCTTCCATCCACGCGGGTTGATGGGCATGGCATGCACTCCTGATGCCCCTGCAAGCAGCCCGAGAAGGGAACAGAGGGGCAGGAGAGTGGGGAAAACGGGGGAACGAAGGCATGACTTTCTCGTGCTTTCTCGTGCACTCTCGCGACATGGAAACGCGGAGACAAGGGGGTTGAGCTCTCCGCCCCTCGTCATCCCTAAAAGCAGCTCATACCAACATGGCACTCTCTGTCTGCGAACCTCCCCATTCTGAATGAACAGAAGCCCCACCTTGAAGCTGCTTTGCCACCCCGGCTTCGCTGTCCCACCTATGAGCTGCTTCGCAAGTGTGAGGTACACTACTCCCCCCACTGCCGGAGATACGGCCTTAAACTGTTTTGCTGGTCTCAGGCTTGAGGCAGTTTCGCAACTACTCTACAGACGCCCCGCCTTTCAGCTGCTTCGATAAGCTTCTGCCCCGTCCCACCTATGAGCTGCTTCGCAAGTGTGAGGTACTACTCACCCCACTGCCGGAGATACGGCCTTAAACTGTTTTGCCAGTTTCAATCAACCAGTCCGGCAGCCATTATGCACGCGCACCTGTGAGCTCATTGGCCAGGGAGAGGTACTGCTCCGTCCAGTGCTGGCGGAACGCCCAGAACTGATCCACATCCACCACGCCCGTCCCCGCCACCTGCTTTTGAGTCAACTCAGAAAGCCGTCCCACCTTTGAGCTGCTTCGCAAGTGTGAGGTATTGCTCCGTCCAGTGCTGGCGGAACGCCCGGAACTGGTCCACATCCAACACGCCCGTCCCTGCTAGCCGCTCTTCCTCCTGCCGATACCTGGCGATCTCAGCGTCAGCCTGCCCTCCCTTGGCGTCTGTGAGGAGCATCCAGAAGGCGAGGTTGCGTGCCGAGGTGATGAGCGGCACGCCGATAATCATGGGGACTGCAGTGGTGAGGCTGGGAGGGTAGAGGGGAACAGGCAGGGGGGCGGGGGCATGGGGTTTGGGATGGTGTTGGGTGTGGTGGAGCATGCAGAAGGTGGGACGAGGTGATCTCAGCGTCGGCCTGCCCCCCCTGGGCGTCGGTGGGGAGCATCTAGAAGGCGAGGTTGCGCGCTGAGGTGATGAGAAGAATCTAGAAGGCGATCAATTTGGGACTAACGAGAATCTACCTCTCCGCCTACCCCTCTCCCTCCCCACCCTCCCCTCCCCCAATCCCACTCTTTTCCCCTCGCCCTCTCCCACTCACCCTTTGACTCTCTACCCCTCGCCTTGCGTCTCACCCTCTCTGTTCAGCGGCACACCACCATTGCTGAAAGGCTTCTGGAACCACCGGGGGTTGCAGTATAATGGCCTCCGCTCCCGCCTCCAACTGCTTGGGGGAATGTGTGTGTTGGGAGGGGGAAGGGGGGATGGGGGAAGGTATACGGCAACACCGGGGGCTGCAGTATAATGGCCTCTGCTCCCGCCTCCAGCTGCAGCGTGAACGGGGGGGGGGGGGTTGTGGGGGGAAAGGGAGGGATGGGGGGGAAAGTGAGAGGGAAATGAGTGGGATCTTGAGGTCAGTCAATGTTTCCGCTGGAAATGTCTCAACATCTTAGGATGTCTCAACATCTGATACTGCTGCATGCAAGCATCAATACGACCTTTTAAAAAGTCCCAGAACATATCTATTATATGACGTGCCTCTTACCTTGTGCTCCAAACGGTCAACAGACCCAGTGAGAGGGTTCTCCACAGCCCACAACTGAACACCTTGGGAGGGAGCGAATGACACGGGAGGGGGATTGTTGGGGATGGGATCGGAGGGGAAGGGTGGGTCTGAGAGGCGCCCTTCAATACAACGCAGCCAGATGCAATTTGAGTCTCAACTTGAAATATTTGCGACGCCTCGAAAGTCATCTTGGCGCAGAACAGGCGTTGCGGCCTGGTTGCGGTGGCGCGCCCCACTCACTCACAGCATACGATAATCTCCCCTGCTCCTCACAACTCGCGCCCGACCGGAAAAGTTTTGAGGCGCCTCAAAACGCGCCCCACTCACTCACAGCATACGACAATCTCCGCCGCTCCTCACAATTCACGTGAACAGCAGAAGCGACGGATTTGCCCTGTTGCCCGGAGCTTGTGCGTCTCGCGGCACGTGGAGCGAGTTGGTGCACATGAGTCGACTCAAAACTCACAATTCATGCAACAGGTATGCAATGCCGCACTTACATTGCGGGATTTGGCCTGCCTCTCGGAGCCTGTGTGCTTCTCGCAGCATGTGGAGCGAGTTGGTGGGCATGAGACGATTCACGAGCGGCCACGAGCGCATGGGGTGGGCTGGGGAGGTTGGGATGGGGATGAATGCAGGAGTGAAGGGCTACGGAGGGGTTGGTTGTGGAGTCAAATGGATCCGGAATGGACAGTGGCAGTGGGTTGGGACAGTGGCAGCAGCAGCAGCAGCACCACCACCACCACCACCACAAGTAACACGTACCTCCTGACAGCAGCAGCAGAGCACCTGGAGAGCTGCCCTCCCTGCCCCCTGCCACCTGAACAGCCTTCTCCACCATCTGCTGCCTCACCGCCTCTGTTGTTTTCACCTGCGCCGCCACCGTCAGCACCTGGGCAACCGCCGGAACCGCAACAGAGCTGTCTGGAGCCTTCAGAGTGGTCTGGCTACCCGTTGTGCTGCCGGTAACAGACTGGTTACCAGCACTGGCAGCTAAGGGAACCTCTTGACTGTGAGTTGACGCATCGAGAGTGCTTGTATTGAAAGTGAGGGAAGAGACAGGAGGATTGGGAACGGAGGAGGTAGTAGGAGGGGGAAAGGAGGAGGTAGGAGGGGGAGAGGACGAGGAGGGGAGTGGAAGCAGAGAGAGGGGCAGCTGCAAGAAATCTCTGAAGCCTGCCGGAGCAGGCAGGTCCGGCAGCACTGTGGCTCGGAACCTGCCCGAAGCTAGGACGTCCGCCGCCTGAGCCTGCCACGTGGCAAGGGAGAGGTGGCAACGATGACGTCATGTCTTAAGGGGCTTTAAATGGCAAATTGGCAGAGAAGAGGTGCAAATGGACACAGTTACCGTTATTGTGACCGTTTACCTGTTTGCCTTCCGTCACTTCCAGCGTCAGCACAAACCGCTGGCCGTCAAACAAGCCGTCCGCGCCTGCTGCAGCGCGTGCTACAGGCGCTCGAGCGGGCTTTCCTGGACCCTTCCTCTGCCCAGAGGCCAGAAAACCTCCAGCGGAAAACGAGCGCGCAGGAAGCACGAAAACGGGATTGAACTTCCGCGTTTGGCGGACGGATTGCGCCAATGCCATTCCGCTGGTCCTGCAATGTCGCTCCGATGCTCCGCTATAGAGTATTCCGCTGTACTCCAACCTCAGCATTATTCTTGCAGAGAAAACCAGCTCCTAGCTCTCAAAAGTCGCGTCTGATTTGCACCCTCAGCATGACTCGCACACAGAGTGACGTCAGACGCGTTCCCAGCGCATCTATTACTTGCGAAAATGGATGTTGCGCGTGGCAAATTGTGGGTGGCGAATTGCGGGTGAATTGTGCATCCTACGGGACTGCGTGGGCGTCGTGCATGGTTGCGTGTGAAGGATTAGTACCCGATATTGCTTACTTGTAGATATATTAGTTCCCATACATGTCAGTATAAGACGATGTATGCTGCATCAGTTAAATTTTGGCATTCCTTATCTGGAAGGCCATATTGGCTAGTGCTGTGAATCAGAGATTCCTATGCAATAGGATCGACCCTGGATGTCCTTCTAATGTCTTTAGTAGAACTTAAGGCAATGAGGGTATTTACCAAGAGATAAAAAAATCATTTCAATAAGTCACACTGATGGCATGTGTGAGATTTCGAAGGTTAGCTTATAGGTCGAATTACAACCACGGGACACCTGAGGACGGAGGAATTCAGCGGCAGTGAAGCAGGGGAGCAGGAGGAGAAAAAAGAGCAGGAGGTGAGACCTGGAAGATGGATGACGAAGGAGTAAACGCAAGACTGGGAACAGGAATGGCAGAAAAGAGAAGGGGAGCAAGAGAGAGAACAAAAGTGGGAAGAGAATGAGGGAGGGAGAGGGGAGAGGCGGGGCTTGAAGAGGGGATGGCAGTGACTACATGCAATCTCAAAGGGGGGGCGGAAGCACACACAGGGGGCGGAAGGGCACACAGGGGGCGGAAGGGCACACAGGGGGCGGAAGGGCACACAGGGGGCGGAAGCACTCAGAGGGGGCAAAAGCACACAGAGGGGGCTAAACACAGCATACAGCTCCCACTTGCCGTGCGTATTTGGAGCAATGGTCGCTGACAGCGCCAAGGAAGCTTTTGAGAACTTTCTATTTTAAGCATTCTTTTTTATTTTTAGAAATCTCAAAGCGGACCGTGCGTATTTGGAGCAGTAGTTCCGGACGGGGCCAAGAAAGTTTCTAGATTGTTGAGTTGACATGTCTCAAAACACGAAAGCACAGCACCCACTGACTGACCGCGCGTATTTGAAGCAGTAGTCGCTGACGGAGCCAATGACCAGCATGCTCGCCTCGTTCTCCTCACACGCCTGGCAGATCGCCTCCCTCGCCTACTTTTGAGGCGCCTCAAAAGGGGGGGAAGCACAGCACAGCTCTCACTGGCCGAGCGTATTTGGAGCCGAGGAAGCTTCTGATCTATTGAGTTGACTTATTTTAGAACACGAAAGTACTGCACCCACTGACTGACCGAGCGTATTTGGAGCAGTAGTCGCTGACGGAGCCGAGGAAGCTTCTCTTGACGGGCCCGTGGCCATGGCTGCCAATCACCAGCATGCTCGCCTCGTTCTCCTCACACGCCTGGCAGATCGCCTCCCTCGCCTCGCCCTGGTACACCTTCGTCACGCTTGTCACCTGTCAGTCACCCACAAAACAAATGTCCAGCAAATTTGATTTATTGAATATATTTATATGCATGATTATACATCCTTACATACATATATAGACGGGTGGGGAGGAGTGAGAGAGGAGGGGGATGGGAGAGGGAGCGGGAGGGGGGAGCGGGACGGGACGGGGTGGCTAATAGCTGCAGCTACACGCCTTCAGTGCCAGTGCGGCTGTTAGCTGTGGTTTTTGTGCACAAGTCTTGCCGCCCTTGCTTTTCTTTTTCTTTCTTTCTTTCTTAAAAGACTTGACGGCACCCACCCTGTTCATAATACAAGCCCGCTCATAACCCAGCTCACCCCGTTGAGAGGACAGCTCACCTGGTTCTCCTTGCAGATGGCTTCGGCCCTCTCGGCGACGCTCTTCGTCTCCTGCTCCTTGTCGTCCTCCACGCTCAGCTCGTTGTCCTCTGGAATCGCGAACGCTGGCGAAAAAAATAGAGGAGAAAATAGACCCACGTGGAGTTAACAGGAAATGGCTTCTGAGACTTGTAAAATACGGGAGAGAAACGAGCCCGGACTGAAAGTAATGTGAAAATTATCGCAGGGGAAGGAACTGCGGATTAATGCGGAGAAAATAGTGGTACGCGCTATGTACCTCCTGCGCTACTGGTAATGGGCGTCTCCACTGTGACGAGTATCGTCTTATCGGCGTCCTTCCGGATAATGTGGTCAAACGCCCTGCGGAACAATGCACGGGGTGTGAGCGACCGAATAATGAGCGACCGAAGTTTCTGGCACGTGGACGTCCACTAGGTGGCGGCGGAAAAACCGTTCGTGGCAGAAAGGAAGCATGCACCCGACGGAAGCGCTTGAAGGGAACGAGCAAAAGGATAGAAAGGAATAAAGAAACACAATAGAAAGGATGCGACTCAGAGCATTGAGCGGGGGAGTGGTAGGCGTGCATACCACTGCAAGGCGTAGAAGCTTTGCTCGGACTCGTCGACTGCGACTATGATGTTGCGACCCGCCACCTCCGTTGTCATCGTCGAAAGGGCACTGCGACAACCGTGTATGCGAAAGAAAACGCTAACACTAGCTCGAGCTCAAACGGATTAATTAGTACGCGTGTAACCAGAGCACGCCCTTAGAACGAACACTAGTTAGTAATGAAAACCTTGGGGCAATGTCTAAGGGGCAGCAAACAAGGGGATTGCTGACTGGTCTTGCGGGAATAGTGACGAGCCTGAGAAAATGCTGATTAGGACTAGCAGAAATGCTGACTCCGATTCTAGGTTGCAAGAAATAGTTTACGCAGTTGATGTTGGTGGTCCAGTTTACCCTTGTAATTTGGAGGGTGGGAAGCTATGCGAAGTAATCAGGGGTCGCAGAATGTTACCGCTCGCTGGTTTGCGTAACAAAGTATCTCTCTAGATTCGGAGTTCGCGAATGGTACACTGAAGAGCCACACGCACATCACCCCTCCCTGATCAGGGATTTCGCTCTTCGCGAAGCTCGCGAAAGAACTTGTTCCCCAAAGCTGGCTGATTCGCCTTATCCAAACTGCTCCCTGATTCACAACTGAAGAGAACACAGCAAACCATTTGATACGTCCACGTGTATTTCATGCTCAGCACTAGCTCCTCCCTGCTACTCCTGGCCTGGCTCGGCTCGTACTCTGAGAATTTTCATTATTGAGCAACGGTCATCACTCAGAGTGACGACCGTCAGGAGCGCAGGCGGTCGTTCGCAGCAGTCACCAAAGGTCATTGTTGAACCGATTGGCTTTTGGGGGTCGGTGGGGTAGATTCAGCAATGCAGTCCTTAGCCGTTTACTGCAGCTCGCCAGCCATGCTAGCGGCGACTAGCTCCCTATCGACGTCGTCGTCGCTACTTCAACGTGCGCAAGCTGGCGATTGCAGCATTCCCGTCGCCGAGATTCCGGGTCGCAGCATTTCGTTCGCGAGGACCTGTCAATCCGGGAATGGAGCTGGCCGAAGAAGAGCGGTGCTGGTGACAGCAGCCACGGGCGCCGGGGCGAAGGGGTTCGGCAAGGCGGACGACGGCAAGAGCCGGGTGCGATGCGACGCGTTGCTTCTGAGAATTCCCAGAAGCGACTTTAATAGATAAAAACTTCCTCTATATCGAATTGCTGAACGCATTGTTGGAAAGTTTTAGAATAGGACGAATTCGAGGTTCGGGGAGATACAGGTGTGAGATTTTCGTGAGCCTGCTGCTGATGACCGTTCATGCATGACTGAACATGCTCTGGTGACCATGCATAACTGAACATGCACTGTTGACCATGCATTACTGATCATGCACTAATGGCCAAGCATGACTGACCATGCGCTGATGACCATGTAGTGATGACATGCACGGACATTGTATGCCATGCCATCATGTGCAGTGTCACGGCATTCCATGGCGCGCAGTTCACGCTGCCATGTGCTGTGCTGCTTGTGCAGTGCCACCGCATGGCCTCTCGCATTCAAATCATGGAACCTCACACGTGTCATCGCACATACCTCAATGTAGCACCTCACGTACCCTAACATGGCATCTCACATGCTATATTTGGGTATGTGCGACACGGCATCTCACATGCTATATCCTGACTTCTCACGCGGCATATTGTCTCATTTTACCCCACGTGTCATTCTACAACGCGTCTTCAGAAGCCGAGTCCCAACAAAGGCAGTGGGCCCCCCAAGCAAGATGCGGCCATTCCAGGCGTCAATGAAAACGGTAACCTCCAGCCCACCTAATAAAAATGATTTTTTGCCCTCAGTCGAACCGAACCCTAGTCAGGAAACGGTTTACTCCTGCTGCAATGTTTCAAAATCAAGCTGACCAATTTATTGCAGTTTCTCTGTGCGATGCCCTGCCGTGCCATGCCTGCACGGCCAGAGTGGGCGCCAGATGTGTCGGCGGCGCAAGAGGCGTCTCAAAGGCCCTTCACCGAAGTCACCCCCCTCTTCCCACTATACACACCTCTCCCCCCGCCCTCTCATCACTGCCTGCACGGCCAGAGTGGGCGCCAGATGTGTCAGCGGCGCAAGAAGCGTCTCAAAGGCCTTTCACTAAAGTCACCCCCCCTATTCCCACTATACACACCTCTCCCCTCGCCCTCTCATCATTGCCTGCACGGCCAGAGTGGGCGCCAGATGTGTCGGCGGCGCAAGAGGCGTCTCAAAGGCCCTCCCGAGTTGCCTCGGACGATGACCGGCTGTTTGAGGAGCGCCTGAGGGAAGTGCGACGGTGAGCAGCAGATGAGTGGGGTGGGGAGAGAGTGTGGGGGGGAGGGAGGGGGGGGGGGGTGTTGGGAGGAAGGGTGGGTGTCGTGTCTGAAGGGTGTGGGAGAGGCGGGTCATGACTCTTGGGGAAAGTGGTGCTCCAGCCAGCCCCCGTGTTGCCCAAGAGTGGGAATGGTGTGGGTGTTGCCTTAGACGATCCCTGCCCTGTTGCAGAGCGCCTGAGAGAAGTCTGTTTTTTGAGACGTCTCAACAACTAACTTCTTCCAAGAGTGGGATGAGAAGGGTGTTGCCTCACCTCAGCTCAGACGATGCCTGCCTGCCCCTGAGGGAAGTGAGGCGTTGAGTTGATGAGTGGGGTGGGGGAAGGAACTGTGGGAGGAGGGGGAGAGACAGGATCCAGAAGGAGGAAGGGAAGGGGGGCTTGTGCGTGTGTGAACTTGAGGATTTGTGAGGATGCGGGCCACTCTGGCCCTTAGGGGCACGTTTGCCTACTCTCCCTCCCTGCCTCTTTCCCCCAGCCGGTCTCTTTGCCTTGGACTCTCTCCCCCTGCCACTCCCCACTTCGCCACCCCTGCCTGGTCTTTGGCCTTCCTGCTCTCGGGCAAGTGGAGGAGAAGAGGCGGGCAAAAGCAGTACAAAGCACAGCAGCCATAGACTATGACAACCCGCAGACAGATGCATGGCCGCACACGCATGCATAACCGCACATGCACACTCTGTTCCCTGCATTTCCGTGGTCTCTGCTCGCCCTGTTTGCAGGCAAGCGGAGGAGAAGAAGCGGGCAAAAGGGGTGAGCAGCACAGCAGCCATAGACTATGACAACCCGCAGACAGACGCATGACCGTACACACACTCTCTGTTCCCCGCATTTCCGCTGATCTCTGCTCTCCCTGCTATCAGGCAAGCGGAGGAGAAGAAGCGGGCAAAAGTGGTGAGCACTACAGCAGCCATAGACTACGACAACCCGCAGACAGAGCCCCTGGTGGATACCGCTGCTCTCACCAAAGACCTCCCCACTAAGGTGAGTCGTGCAGGGGAAGCAGATGAATGCACCCCCAGAGGCATGGGAACAGCAGGGGCAGGGAGCACTACAGCAGCCATAGACTACGACAACCCGCAGACAGAGCCCCTGGTGGATACCGCTGCTCTAACCAAGGACCTCCCCACCAAGGTGAGTGAGGCACGTTGTGTTACAGTGGTAGAGGTGGAGGATGCATGCAACGCAGGGGCTCAGGAGCAGCAGGAGCAAGGGAGCACTACAGCAGCCATAGACTATGACAACCCGCAGACAGAGCCCCTGGTGGATACCGCTGCCCTCACCAAGGACCTCCCCACCAAGGTGAGGCGCTGTGGTGTGCTGCAGTGGTAGAGGTGGAGGATGCATGCAGCCCCAGGGGCAGGGGAGGCACTTCGAGAGGCAGGCGATGAGCAGCAAGGGAGCAGCAGGGGCATGGGAGCAGCACAGCAGCCATAGACTATGACAACCCGCAGACAGAGCCCCTGGTGGACACGGCTGCTCTCACCAAAGACCTCCCCACTAAGGTGAGCTGGGGGTGTGTGGAATATAATGGACTATAACACGCTTTGACAGCCTTGGTGTTATCCACTGCCGACTGCAGTGAAAACATAGCCCCTGGTGGATACCGCTGCTCTCACCAAGGACCTGCTTACTAAGGTGAGACTGCTGCGGTGCAGTGGCAGTCTCACCAGGGGAAGGAGATGCATGCACCCTCCGCGGCAGAGGGGTGGAGACAGAACCGCTGGTGGGCACCGCTGCTCTCATCAAGGACCTCCCTACCAAGGTGAGTCGCGCTGTGCTGCAGTGGTAGTGGGAGGGCAAGCGAGCAGGAGTGGCTGAGCGGCGCCATGGTAACATGACTCAATGTCAGAGTCGCTGGTTGATAATACCGCTGCTCTCACTGGAAGACAGACATTCGTGCTCAGGGGATGCGTGCTTGTGTCCAGATTGGCATTGGCATAGCGGCCACGGTGTTTGCTGCGATATTCGCCTTCGGAGACATTCTCCCCGCCCCCCTCCCCGCCCCCCTCTCATACCAGTCGTTTTTCCTGCTGCCTCCTTCGGTTCCCCCTTCTCCCTCCCCCCTTGTGTATGTGTCCAGATTGGCATTGGCATTGCTGCCACGGTATTTGCTGCCATTTTCGCCTTCGGAGACATTCTCCCCGCCCCTTCCTCCTCCCCGTATGTGACTGATCCACTGTGAACCCCATTGGCTGGTTACGTGCATGTGTAGGGTTATGTGTCTGGTCTGGTCCTTGATGCTTAATAGAGGCATATTTGCCCCCCCATTCTCAGTCTAAGACCTCCTGGTGCTTCCGATAAATCTCAGACCTCAGAAGCAACATGATAGCTAGAGGCAGTTCTGCCCACCTTCTCAGTCAAAGACCAGTTTTGAGTCGACTCAAAAAGAGGCAGTTCTATTCCCCTTTTCAGTCGAAGTCCTCGCACCGTGCTCCCAACAATTTGCGAATCCTACCCACCCGCATTTATTTCTCTTAATCTCCCTAATCTTGTCCAACCTCACTCAATCCATCTGGATCCGCCGTGTTCCAGGCAGCAGCAGATGGTGGATGCGAGTGGCATTGCAGTTAACAAGATGAGCGATGCCCAGAGGAAGCAGCGAGAGGTGAGCCCTCTCTTGCTCCCCTGCTGCTCTCCCCCTTACACATACCCATGTTTTGAGCCGACTTAAACACGCGAGTGGCATTGCAGTCGGCAAGATGAGCGACGCTCAGAGGAAGCAGCGAGAGGTATGCCCTCTACTGTTCCCGCCTCTAATTCCCTCATGCATGCTTTTCGTATCTGTAGGTATGTAATCATTTACCATACACCCATCGTCCAGCTCTTAGGTCATCCCAAACTGCAGTTTCACTCCCCCAAAAAAAGTGCCTCTGGTTCCCCTGCTCCCCTTGTGCCCGCTGCTCTGTGTGCATCAACCCCACAGGACCAGTTGCAGGATTTTGAGGGGCGGCTGGCCTCACTCAAGGCGATTCACCCCAACCCTGCATCCACTGCTCCAATTCTCATCCTCTCCCCTGCTCCCCCTGCTCTCCCCTGCTCCCCCTGCTCTCCCCTGCTCCCCCTGCTCTCTCCTGCTCCCCCTGCTCTCCCCTGCTCCCCCTGCTCTCCCCTGCTCCCCCTGCTCTCCCCTGCTCCCCCTGCTCTCCCCTGCTCCCCCTGCTCTCCCCTGCCCCCCCTGCTCTCCCCTGCTCCCCCTGCTCTCCCCTGCTCCCCGTGCTCTCCCCTGCTCCCCCTGCTCTCCCCTGCTCCCCGTGCTCTCCCCTGCTCCCCCTGCTCTCCCCTGCTCGGTCCCGCTGCTCCCCCCCTGCTCCGCCTCCTCCCCCTGCTCCTTCCTGCCAACCCTCCCTCCCTCATCCAACCCACAGGACCAGCTAAAGGAGTTTGAGGGGCGGCTGGCCCCACTCAAGGCGATTCACCCCAACCCTGCATCCGCTGCTCACTGTCCCCCCTGGCCCCCCATCAACCCCACAGGACCAACTAAAGGAGTTTGAGGGGCGGCTGGCGGCCACACCGGACAACAGGGAGGCGCTGGAAGGAGCTGCAGTGCTGCATGCTGAGCTGGGGCAGTATACTGTATAAGCAGGCGGCTCAAGTATCACCTCTGCTCCCCCTGCCCCCCTAATTAACCCCGCAGGACCAGCTAAAGGAGTTTGAGGGGCGGCTGGCGGCCACACCGGACAACAGGGAGGCGCTAGAAGGCTCTGCAGTGCTGTATGCAGAGCTGGGGCAATACAATCAGGCGGCTCAACGCCTGGAGCAGCTCAGCCAGGCACGTGGATTGTAGCATAGTAGGGACAGCATGGCATGTGGATGGTAGCATGGTAGGGGTGAGGGATGAGGGTTGAGGGGTACAGCACAGTAGGTAGGGAGCTGGGGCAGTGTAAGCAGGCCGCTCAATGCCTGGAGCACCTCAGGCAGGCACGTGGGCATGTGTCTTGTTCGTTGCACGTGTTGTGGTAGCTAGGGTGAGGGGTGCAGCACGGTAGGGAAGGGTGAGCAGGGGCAGCAGTAAGGTGTTGGAGGGGGCTGCCGTGCTGCATGGGGAGCTGGGGCAGTACGGGCAGGCGGCTCAACGCCTGGAGCAGCTCAGCCAGGCACGAGGGCGTGTGTCTTTAGCATGGTGGGGCTGAAGCACAGTAGGGGAAGAGTCAGCATGGGCAGGCAGCAGGGAGGCGCTGGAGGGTGCTGCCGTGCTGCATGCAGAGCTGGGGCAGTATGGGCAGGCGGCTCAACGCCTGGAGCAGCTCAGCCAGGCACGAGGGCGTGTGTCTTTAGCATGGTGGGGCTGAAGCATAGTAGGGGAAGAGTCAGCATGGGCAGGCAGCAGGGAGGCGCTGGAGGGTGCTGCCGTGCTGCATGCAGAGCTGGGGCAGTATGGGCAGGCGGCTCAACGCCTGGAGCAGCTCAGCCAGGCACGTGGATGGGATGGTAGCATGGTAGGGTGAGGGTTGAGGAGTGCAGCACGCTAGGGAACTGGGGCAACGCAAGCCGCCCAATCGACGCCTGGAGTAGCTCAGCCAGGCATGTGGTCAAAACGGGTCATGCTCTCACCTTGTCATGCTCAGCCCTCCGCCTCTCCCCTAATGTGTTGCCTCTCAGGTCGCCCCGGAGGACCCCGAGGTGCAGCGGTTTTTGGGGGAGGTGGAGAAGCAAGGCGCATTGAAGCACCCAACAATGCTTGTGAACTCAACACACTGCGCTCTCCGCTTCTCCCCCGTTGTCTTGCCTCTCAGGTCGCCCCGGGGGATCCCGAGGTGCAGCGCCTTCTGGGGGAGGTGCGATTTGAGCTGGGCGAGTATGGCGCCAGTGCTGCTGCCTACAGGCGGGCTGTCAAGGTGAGGGGGAGTGCAGCAGGGGCGACTTTTGAGGCGCCTCAAAAGCCTTCTGGGGGAGGTGCGATTTGAGCTGGGCGAGTACAGCGCCAGTGCTGCTGCCTACAGGCGGGCTGTCAAGGTGAGGGGGAGCGCAGCACGGGCGGTGGGCTGGAGATGGGAGATGGGAGATGGGAGATAGGAGATGGGAGATGGGAGATGGGAGATGGGAATCGTGAGTATGAGCTGGGGGAGTAAGGCGTCAGCACTGTGGCTTACAGGCGAGCTCTCAAGGTGAGGGGGGGTGCTGTAGGGGCGGTTGGCTGGAGTTGGGAGATGGGAGATGGGAATATGAGCTGGGAGAGTATGGCGCCAATTGCTGCTGCCTACGGGCGGGCTGTAGGAGAACTGTCAAGGGAGTGGGGACAGCAACAGCAAGTATGGCGCCAGTGCTACGGATTACAGGCGAGCAGTCCAGGTAAGTGAGACCCATTGCTGCTGCGAGGTGAGGTGGTGTGTTGCAAGGTAAATCTGCCTCGTTCACATCACATCTCATTACATCACATCACATCACATCACATCACATCACATCACATCACATCACATCACATCACATCACATCACATCACATCACATCACATCACATCACATCACATCACATCACATCACATCACATCACATCACATCACATCACATCACATCACATCACATGGCGCCGCGTCGCACCCCATCGCATCAAGTCGGACCACATCACATCGCATTGCATCGCAACACATCTGCCTCCCTCCCCTCCTCCCCTCCCTTCCCCTTCTCTCCTTCCCTCCCCTCCTCTCCTCCCCGTATTTCTCACCACCAGCTGTCGCCTGTGGAGTCACTGGAGGTGCTGCAAGGGCTGACAGGCGCTCTTGTAACTGACTCCTTTTCACCAACTCCTCTGCTCCACCATCTTCCCCACACCCTCTCCCCCTGTGCTCGCCGCACCGCCAGGTGTCGCCTGTGGAGTCCCTGGAGGTGCTGCAGGGGCTGACCGGCGCTCTGCTGGCCGACAACAAGCCGCAGCAGGTGCGTGGTGATGCAATGCGGTGGTGTGGGATGGGATGGGTTGCGAGTAGCATACATGTGGCGTGGACATGCGAATGGGGGAGGCATATGCATCGTCAAACAGGGCAGCTGCAGCAACACTAACAGACACACCGACTCTTCTCAAAGTGACCTTTGAGTGACTCAAAAGTCAGCATGCTACTGGGGGAGGCACATGCATCGTCATACAGGGCAGCTGCAGCAACACTAACCGACACCGACTCTTCTCAAAAGTTCTCCTCATGGGTCTCCACCCCACCCTCCTTCTTTTCTTCATTCCGCTACTGCCCCGGCCGACCCTCCTCCCATACCAAAAAGTCTTTGTCCCATCCTCCCTTCCCCCCACATTACCTCTCCCCTTCCCCCTCCCCTCTTCCCCCTTCTCCCTCACTTTCAAATTTTCCCAGGCAGTGGACGAGCTCCTAGCAGCGCGACAGTGGGTGGAAGCAGCAGCAGCACCGGGGCACTCACCATTGTTTCAAAACTTGACCTCTGAAATCTTCCTCTCCCCTCTTCCCCCTTCTCCCTCACTTTCATTTATCCAGGCAGTGGACGAGCTCCTAGCAGCACGGCAGCGGGCGACATCAGCAGCGGCAGCAGCTGATCCTTTCCCCCTCCCATCCCCCTTCCCTGCCGCCACTCCCTCTATGCACTGTTAGAAATAGGCTGTCAACACTTTGTGTACTATATTCTATATCTTGTAGGTTATTTGTAGGTTGGGTGTAGATTGTAATCCCAACCCTATCTGGTTGGGATTCCCTCGTAATCCAGCAAATCTGCCAACTCACCATTGGAGATGTGCTAGGATTCCCATCCCATCTTTTCCCTAGCTTTGCTCAACCCAACCTTGTTTGTACTTAAGGCCTAGTGGGTTTTCTACTAATCAATCAGTTCAGCTCCAATTCTATCATGCACCACCAACACTGGGAGATTCCGACTCGCCTCGAAGGTCTCCCTCCCACTCCCTCCCCCTTCCCAGGCAGTGGACGAGCTTCTAGCAGCACGGCAGTGGGTAGGAGGAGCAGCAGCAACACCGGGCCACTCACCATTGATTCAGAACTTGACCTCTGAAATCTTCCTCCCCCCTCTCATCCGCCTTCCCTCACTTCCCAACTATCCCAGGCAGTGGACGAGCTTCTAGCAGCGCGGCAGTGGGCGACATCAGCAGCGGCAGCAGCTGATCCTTTTCTCCTCCCATCCCCCTTACCTGCAACCACTCCCTCTATGCACCCTCTCAGGCAGTGGATGAGCTCCTAGCAGCGCGACAACGGGTAGGAGCAGCAGCAGCACTGGGGCACACACCATTGTTTCAGAACTAGACCTCTGAAATCTTCCTCCCCCCTCTCATCCCCCTTCCCTCGCTTTCAATAATCCCAGGCAGGGGACAATCTCTCGCAGCGCGACAACGGGTGGAAGCAGCAGCAGGGAAGGAGGCGGAGGAGGAGGGGGTGGCAGGCGAGGCGCAGGTGGCACTGCTGCTGGGGAAGGCGTATGCATTGCTGCACAGGATGGCTGCAGCAGCACTCCAGAGACTCGCTGTTGCCTCAAAAAAATGCCTCTATAATCCTTCCCGCCTCCCATCCCCCTTACCTGCAACCACTCCCTCTATGCACCCCCCTCAGGCAGTGGACGAGCTGCTAGCAGCGCGACAATGGGTGGAAGCAGCAGCAGGGAAGGCGGCAGAGGAGGAGGGGGTGGCAGATGAGGTGCAGGTGGCACTGTTGCTGGGGAGGGCGTATGCATTGCTGCTCGGGATGGCTGCAGCAGCACCGGGGCACTCACAATTGTCTCAAAACTTCACCTCTGATTTATTTTCCCCCTGCCCTCCCCCTTCCCTGCCACCACTTCCCAGGCAGTGAAAACAGCAGCAGCACTGAATGGCTGCACCAGCACTGGGGAACTCACAATCGCCTCAGAAATGCACCCCTGAAATCTTCCCCCCTCCCAATCCCCACCCTCAGGCAGTGGACGAGCTGCTAGCAGCGCGGCAGCGGGTAGAAGCAGCAGCAGGGAAGGCGGTGGAGGAGCAGGAGGGGGTGGCAGACGAGGTGCAGGTGGCGCTGCTGCTGGGGAAGGCGTATGCATTGTCGCTCAGGGATGGTTGCACCAGCACCGGGGGACTCAAAATTGACTGAATTATACCCCCCTCCCAAACCCCCTCCCACTCCACCCTCAGGCAGTGGACGAGCTTCTAGCAGCGCGGGGTCGGGTCGAGGCAGCAGCAGGGAAGGAGGTGGAGGAGCAGGAAGGGGTGGCGGACGAGGTGCAGGTGGCGCTGCTGCTGGGGAAGGCGTATGCGGCGTGGGGGCGGCCGGGGGATGCGGCTGCGGTGTACGATGGTCTCATTGCCTCTCGCCCTGACGACTTCCGAGGCTACCTGGCCAAGGTCTGTATGGGATGAGATGATCTTCTGGGTTGATGCAAAAAGCAGCAACGGTGCTGCTGCGGTGCACGACGGGCTCATTGCCTCCCGCCCGTACGACTTCCGAGGCTACCTCGCCAAGGTTTGTGTGGGATGACTTTGAGGGTCAACGCAACAATCTCAAAGGGTCAGTGCAGCAACATCAAGGATGCTGCTGCGGTGTACGATGGGCTCATTGCCTTGCGCCCTGACGACTTCCGAGGCTACCTCGCCAAGGTTTGTGTGGTGTAATCTGCTTTTATGTATATTTGTGTTTTGTGCCCCATGCAAAGTTTTGCATGGGGTGATCTTCTAGTTTGATGCAACATTCATCGATGGTTGCAGCTGCGGTGTATGACGGGCTCATTGCCTCCCGCCCCGATGACTTCCGAGGCTACCTGGCCAAGGTTTGTTTGTATGGGATGACTTTGAGGGTCAATGCAACAACGTCAAAGGTCAATGAAACAACAAAGGGCCAACGCAACAACATCAAAGGTGCTGCTGCGGTGTATGATGGTCTAATTGCCTCCCGCCCTGATGACTTCCGAGGCTACCTCGCCAAGGTTTGTATTCGATAGACTTCTGTTATGTTTGTTTTGTGTTTGTGTCACATGCGAGGTTCTGTATGAGATGACCTTCTGAATTAGTGCAACAATATCAAAAGATGCTCCTGCGGTGTACGATGGACTCATTGCCTCCCGCCCGGACGACTCCTGAGCCTACCTGGCCAAGGTCTGTACGGGATGACTTTCTGGTCTGTAGTGTGTTTCTGTGTATACATGCCATTATGAGATGAATTTCGGGTATACATGTGCTTTTTCTTGTGTGTATACATGCCAACAAAGGTGACTCAGATACATCACAGGGTGCTGCTTTAGTGTGTTGTCAGGCTTGTGGACATGGCAATCCACATGTGCACTTGGTTCCGGAAGTTTTTTCTAGGCGCCTCAAAAGTCCTCAAGAGGCGCCTCAGTGTGTCGTCTTCCTTGTGTGCTTGGCAATCCACGTGTGCATTCGGTTCTGGAAAGTTGAGCTTGGGATTTGCTAGGGTGGGGATCTTATGTGTGGTGGATGGATGGTGGCTGCTAAGCCGTGCATCTGCCTCATCCTCCTTTGAGTCCACTAAAAAATTGGTGTCTATAAGAACGGCTTTGGAGGCGTCTTGAAAAATGGGACATGTTGGCATCTGCCTCAGCTTCTGACATGGAAGCCTAAACGTCGCCAAATCATGCTGCATTCTGTCAGGATGAGCCACGCCTTGTGTGTGTTTGCGTGCGTGGTGTGATTTGCAGGGCTTGTTCCTCAAGGACAATGGCAACCTAGCGGAGGCTGACAGAATGTTTCTTCAGGTGAGAGTGTGGATGACTCTTCAGGAGTGAGATTGCCAGCAGAGATACCAATTTTTCTGCCATGTGTGCTGTTCCTTGCCGTAAATCAACTACCGTAGTTGGCACTGCAAATGCGATCCAGCTTAGTAGATTCTCGGATGTGAATGGTGATGTTGCTCCACTCTCCTTTGTTTCCATCGCAGGCGAGATACCTGGCACCAGACCAGGTGAAGGTGCTAGTGGACCGGCTTGCAAAGAGATGACATCATGATTCACAACACACGGGTCCTTGTTGACTGTGCGGTGCAAAGTCATTTTCCACAACACCACAAAGTGGGAGAAATGTGTGCAAATACCAGTACCGTATTGTTTGTTTGCCAGCGACATACCGGTACCGTACAATAAACCTGAAAGTCGATTTTTATGAAGGGAATTAGTGTGACAAAATTGGCCTGCCAAGTCAGCAAAACATGAGCTTGAGTCTTCATGTGTTTGACTGGAGTCAAGTGGGGTTTGAAATACAGCTGAAGTGAAAGAATCATACCAAATTTGTGGCTACTGTCTAGTTTATGGATAAATGCAAGTTCAACTGAAGTAGGGAGAAATGCTCCTATCAACTCATTTCTCGTGAACCGTTATTACACCATTTAGGTGTTGCAGTGTAGCAGTCAAGCGTCTGACATGAACGGTGATGAGATGAAACCATTGACTGACTGGCCGTTTCTCTCGGTGCTGGTTGGATGCCGTTGGTCAGTGCCGTCGATTTCGTATTTTTTACCCTCATACTGTACAGTACTCCCTCGATGCAGCTTGCCGCGTCAACCCCGAATCCCCGAACCTATGGTGTCTTGACGTGACACGAAGGACGCCAGTTGCAGCTCTGGGTCATCTCATCCACGAACCAGTCTGCTCGACTTCCAGCGGCGCTCAATAACCAGCGAATCACGGCACGGCACATGAAAGTCAAAGAGAAGGGACAATGAAACGACTTTGGCTCACTTGGTAGCAAACCTCAGGTAAAAACAAGACGACCCACCCAGCGAATGCACAGTAAATTCGCCGAAAAGCATGCATGCACATTGAACAGCCGTACACCGCACCGCAGCATTCGAAGGAAATGCGGTTCGCAGATGCGCGCCATTTCTTTGATACTGTACTGTATCTGCGCCGCAGCGCAGAAATTGAAATGCGCAGCACAGTAAATACAAGAAGATCACCCAGAACGAAGTTTGATCGGGCACGCTTCACTCACCGCACTGTACTCCAACCGCTCCCCGGGTCCGGCTCGAAGCAACTGCAATGCTAACGAAGAATCTTTGTACCGTCACGTGGCACCGTTCCTCACCACGCGAGGCCTCTGCTTTACCGTCGTGGAGTAGTAAATTCAGCATCATCTCTGGCTCACCCCGGCAGTGCATGCTGCTGAGGAGCGCGGTACACCCAAGGAAAGATCGCTTCATTTTGAGGATCACGTCGGCGATCCTTGCGGAACAGTGTCCCACCTACTACAGTACAGTGATCACTGTGTCAGGTGGTGTACCAACAGAGGTGGGATCGGGAACATGTGTAGTCAATGCTACACAATCTTTGTGATGTCCGTAGGATCATCGTGACTGCCAATCTCTTGGTGATCTTTGCAACTCTGTACCAAAGTCAGGGTGATCCTTGTTGACGAAAAACTTTCCTTTCGCAATCAGGTCGTACATCTGAAACGAGGTCGCATCAAATCAAAACATTTCGAAAATGAAAATCTCACCAATGAGGTTGTTTCGTCTCAGTATATTACACGGCCAACATATGCACGCGAAGTATCAACGTTCGTGACTCGTTGCGATTCGCCTGGTCGCAGAGGATCACCAATGCAAAATTGGAATTGGTACATCAACGAGGTTCGTAATGTGCCCCAAAATTTGTTGTTTTGCTACCAATGATCCTACGATTGGCGTGACGGTGATCTCAGCTAAGTGATCCTTAAACATACGCCAGGTGTACCGCGCTCTAACCCGCCTACTTCACAAACGCCGGGTGCTGGCCTGGAAGTATCGTCTGCTTGACAGCCTTGGCGGCAACTTGGCTGGAAGTGCAACCTCCCCTTCCTCGCTCTCAACAATGCCTGCAGCAGCAATTGGTTGCTCGGTGGATTACCGTGCCCACCTTCCTCAGTCGAGCAATCGCATTTGATTCGTACTCACAGAAACTGCTCGCTCATCAACAGCGAATTCTCGAGGCCTCCGAGACCCATGAATTCTTCTCTCTCTAAGCAGAGCTTTCACATTCCCCACATTCCCACCTTCTGCTCTACTCGGTGTTAGGAGCCTCTACTTTCTTCTCGGCATCCTCTCGAGCCGTGGCATCCGTTCTAACTCAACGCCTTTTTTACTTGTCACCCGGGGCTTCGGAACCTCCGACAACTCGAACGCTTCAAATGGATACAGTTTTATTGTCCCCTCGATTTTGCCTCTGACGACCAAAATCTTCCGCGCGGGCGTCTATAAAAGAGACGCTTTGAGGCGCCTCAGAAAGAGACGCTTCGACGGGGGAACTTCTGCTGGTCCCTCAAAAATAGATTTTCGCCTCTGATAACCAAAGCGTATCGCGTGGGCGGAAAGCGAGGCCTTCTTCATGAGCTGTGCGGAAGCTTCCGCGACGGGCCGCCGGGATGCCGCCGCGGAGGGTTCCTCTGCGTCGCGCCGCGCAGCAGCATCAATGCCAGCCGTTACAGCAGCAGACGCGCCGCGGCGCAGCGATTCGGTTCCGGTTATCTCCGCTCGCGAGCTCACGCGCCGCTTCGTCTTCACGGATCTGCTAGGGGAGGGAAAGTTCGGCCGCGTTTGGCGCTGCTTGGACCGCCACGGCCCCACCAGCGAGCCGCTCGCGTGCAAGCAGATCCTCACCGCTCATCTCACGGCGGAGCAACGGCTGGCGCTTCACCGCGAAATCGCCGTCCTGCAACGCCTGCAGGGCCACCCGAACGTGCTGCGACTGCATGCGATTTGCGACGGCGACAGTGGCGGATTGGAGGGGCTTGGTTCGGAAGCAAATTCGTGTGGTTCGGACACGTGTGGTTCGGGGTGGGAGGATGCGTCTGTCGCGATTCGGGAACTCGTCGCGCGGCCCGGTGTGTATCTCATTACGGAGCTGTGTACCGGCGGCGACCTGTTTGACTTGATTGACCAATTTGAACATGGCGTGGACGAACGAACCGCGGCGGGAATATTCGTCCAGATCGCGCGCGCCGTGGAATGGTGCCACCTTCACGATATAGTCCACCGTGATATAAAGCCCGAGAACGTGCTTATAACAGGTCAAGCGCCGCCCTCGTCGCCGGCGTCGAAGCGAGCTTCTGATAGACGAAGCATTTTCGCAAAGAACGGGATTTGCGGCCCGTCTTCGTCATACTCGTCGTGTTCTCCGATTTGTACCCCGGTCTCTACATTCTGCCCGTCCTTCTGCCCGTCTCCACCTCCCGCCGTGACTCCACTCGAGGTTCCCCAAAAGTCGACGCCTGCACTCGCGTCCTCTGCCTCTATTCCAACCTCCTCCTCCTCCTCATCCTCGTTACAAGACTTTTCGCTTCTTTCCCCTTCGTCGTCGTCCTCCTCCCCCTCCTCCTCTTCCTCCTCCTCCGTCTCCTCCCATTCCTGTTCCTCCTCGCCCTTCCACGCCTTCGTCACATCGTCTCCTCTTCCTTCTCCTCTTGCTTCTCCTGTTGCTTCTTCGCTTCCTTCCGCCGTCAAGGCACTTCATTCCAACAGCAATTCCGCCCATGCGGTATACGCGCCATGGGACTCGCCGCGAAACGCGCCGCACAAGTCCGCGCGCGCGTCCATCTTTCCGCACAGCCGTAGCGATCCGTCAGGCAGCAATGCCGACGCTGCTGCTCAAGCTGCCGCCGCTGCTGCTTCCGCTGCTGCTGCTGCTGCGCGGGGAGTTACTTCGGCATGCTCCGCGTCGCCGCCAGCGGGCGCATGCACTGACGCGGGGGCTTCGCGGGTGGCTCTTCCTGCGCGAGCGATCCCGCGGCCCCAGATCGCGATTCCGCGCGCATACTCTGCTACAGAGATTTCTCCGCGCGCATGTCATTCCGCCGCGGGAAAAGTCACTGGCGAGAGCGCAGCAGCCGCTTCTCCACGGGGCGGGGGAAATGACGAGGAGGAATCCGAGGAGGCGATTTATCCGAGCCTGTTTGGTGGGGCTGCCGAGCCTGAGGTTCGGCTCGCGGATTTCGGCATGGCGTGTGAGGTGCCTCCAGGCTCGGCAATCATGGGCCTGGCTGGAAGTGAACCGTACGAGGCTCCTGAAATGGTGGAGATGAAACGTTACGACCATCAGGCAGATGTGTGGTCCCTGGGGGTTCTCCTGCACACCCTCCTCTCTGCCACGTGGCCAGAATTCCCGGATGGAAGGCGTGAGCTGGTGCAGGAGGATTTGACGGTGCGCCCGTGGCCGTCGATCTCGGAAGATGCGAAGGATCTGATCCGTCAGATGCTGGTGGTGGATCCGAATGAACGGCTGGATATTCACTGCGTGCTTCAGCACCCGTGGTTGGTGAAATGGATGAGGAGGCAGAGAGGGCGGCCGCAGAGAGGCAATCGGGATGCTCCAGAACCGCTTGAGCTGCAGGGGCAAGGGCATGTGAAGGAACAGCTGCAGCAACACCTGCCGAAGCAGCAGCAGCAGCAGCAGCAGCAGAAACTGACAGATTGTAAAGGTGGTCAAATGCCAGTCACAGCAACTGGGCCGGCAAGAAAGCAGCGCAGCAGTCGCACCAGCTCCTTGCTGGCAAATTACATAGCTAACTCCAGTGATAACATCCCTGCGAATACAACAGCAGAGCAGCACAGCCAGCAGCAACCGAGCCAGCTGAGAGAGGCGCGTGGCTTGCCCCCCCTGTCGCCTGTGATCCATCCTGTTCGAAAACATGAGTCGCATTCCCATCGCCCACCACTACCACTGAAGCTGCCTCGGCCACCTATGCTGGCTGTGCAGCCATAATCAGGGTGAATGAAATAAATATTAGGGAAGTTGATTGGTCGCATGACTGACAAACAGCCAGAAGATTCTGTTCAAGCCTGTGGAATGGTTGGATTGGATTCGTGCTATGGCATAATGCTTTGAGTCTACCTTGCACTTGTTTGCCAAGCGTAAAAATGCCTCAATCAGCGTTTATCGTGAAGGTATATTCAGGAATAATGAAGGGTGTACCACTTTTTCGTTTGTCAACATTAGCCAACGTAAAGAAATAGCATTCCTCTATTATTTGCATATGGATTGTTGATGGATGGAACACTAGAGCTTGGTAGTCATATATTGATTTTTGGTTGCTACACGATATCTCCTCGAAACAAATGATAAACTGCGGAATTTTTGTCATGGATATGTGTTGGCCATGGCGCCAGCGAGCGATATCGACGTCACCTTGGGCAGTCATGGCGTGGCGGCGGTGGCTCTCCCACAGGTCTTTTCAGTCTGACACCAGCAGCGCTTTGTCCAGGAAGAAAGCTCTGTTGCACCAATGACCTGCGAATCGGCCCCAGATAGGATCCAAAACGAGTCTCTGCGACCACCAGGTGCACATGCGACACGATATCCTATCTGACAAATATTGATGCGACGCCAGGGTGCTCAAGAGATGTTGAGGTCGCCGCATTCGTCATGTGTCCTCCCCCGCCTCGCTGTTTCGTTTTGCTTGTGTGCGAGCGCGCATGCGAAATCCAGGGGAAACCGAGTATCGCTCAGCTCCGGAATGCGAGCCAACTGTTAGACTCGGAAGAGAAGTCGTAATTATGGCGGCAACGAGGTTACTGTACCCTCTCCCCCCTCTACAGCACAACTCTCTCCCCTCTTCCCGCATTCCCCTTTCAACACCCCATTCTCTTCCTCCCTGGATTTAGGCCCCACCGCTGAACCTCCTCCCGCCAAGCTGATCCCACTTTCCCCCCTCCTGCCCACTCTCCAGTAGGGTTGGCGTTTGTTGCAAGGTAAGGTGAGGCTTTACGACACTCACTGTTTGCGACCAGCCTCGTTAGGTTGTCGCTTTCATTAGCCAGCGGAAACCTGTTCCCCTGACCGCCCAACCTTTCTACTTTCTGTGCACGCTTCCACATCAGGATACCTATCCTTTCCACCTAGCAGTTTGTTGACGTGCAAACCGCTGCCTAGCGCTTCGGTATGTCGGGTTGAGGAATATAAAACATAATAGTTCTCAGAGCTTTGTTTAGAAATTTTAGACAGTCCGAACTTCGTAAAAGCATATCTCGTGTCGCAATGGGTATCTTCCAGTGGTGGGAGCGGCCGACGGATTTCCCGCGGGTCATAAGCTGGGCGGCGAAGTTCCCACGGGACCGGTATTCTCTAGGTGACGTCATCGCCAACGGATCCAGCGGCTCCGTCTTAGAATGCACAGACAAGGAGACCGGCCAAGGGCTGGCCTGCAAAGTGATGCTCAAGAACGCGCTGCGAACAGAAGCCGACAAAAACGGCCTGCGGCGCCGGCTGGAGATAATGAAGCAGGCCGGCACGCATCTGAACGTGGTGTCGCTTGTGGGCGTGTTTGAGGACACGTGTGCAATCTACGTGGTCATGGAGCGCTGCTTAGGTGGCGACTTACTGGAGTACATCAGCAAAATGGGCGCGATTCCCGAGCCGCAGGCGGCTATTATGTTTCGGCAGCTCGCATCGGCTGTCGCCTTCTGTCACGACTATGGGATCCTGCATCGCAACTTAAAGCCCGAGAACGTGTTTCTGACGTACGGGACGGCGGACGACCTAAACTACGCGTCGCCCGCGCTGTCCTCCTGTAGCTCCTTCTCCTCCTCCTCCTCCTTCTCCATTTTCTCGCCGTCACTCTCCGCCTTCTCCACCCCGCAAAGCTCCCCCGCGCGGCATGCAAGCGCTTCCTCCTCCCCCTCCCCTTCGTTCAATCCCCCTTCCCCCGCTCCTTTCAGCAGAAGCACCGCCGCTTCCCCCGCCCCCTCCCCCGTTGGCTCTTCCCCCAGCCTTCCCCTCCCTTCCCCCTCACCGTCCGCGGCACCTTCCGCCTCTCGCTTCCAGAATCCAGTTTTTGAATCCAACTCCGAGCCCCCCGATTCCTCCGCCTCCCCCGGCTCTGCCTCCGCATCCGCCTCCTTCTCCGCCTCCGCCGCCGCCGCCACCGCTACCGAACCAGCAGAAGCAGTAGCTGCAGACGACGTACCCGACGCAGCCCTCCCTTCGTCAACCCCAGCCTTTTTCGCGTTCAATTTTCAGGGCCCCTTCGTGCGACTTAACGACTTCACTCTGGCGACGCGCCGTCGCAGAGGGTCGTACGTGAGCGGAGCGGTCGGAAGCCTGCCGTACAAATCGCCGGAGATGATTCTAAAAGGTCGCTCCAACGAGAAGGCGGACATTTGGAGCCTTGGAGTTATTCTCTACTCCATGCTCTCAGCTCGGTGGCCCTTTTATTCGCCTAAAAAGGCTGCTCTTGAGCGGAAGATCCTGAATGGCCACGTCGACTTTTCCGGTGATCCCTGGCCGTCGATCTCAGATGACGCAAAGGATCTCGTCCGTCGGATGCTGGCTGTCAACCCGAACGAACGGCCTTCCGCAACGGAGCTGCTAAAGCATCCATGGGTGCTGAAGTTTCTTCTAGCGGAATCCCAGGGGGGGAGCTCGGGCGCTGATGCTGGCGCAGCAGGCACAGGTGTTGGGGGAAGCGGGGGGGTGGCGGTGGCGCAGCAAGTGAAAAACGGAAAGTTATCCGGGAGGGAGGTCACTGAAGAGGGGTGGAACTGTAACGATAGGATGGGTGTATGCGATCTACACTTACAGGTGGCGAACAATTGCTGGATTATGCTCTCCAAGATGATGCCGAAGATGACGTGGTGATAAGATTTAGGGTATGGGTGATGGATGGGCTAAAGAAGCTGCACCTTCAGCAATTGAGGTGCTATTGATGAGATGCAAGTGCACCACTTCCACCTCAGTTATTCTATTACGTTTGCAGATGCCTGCCAAACCAAACCTTGTACATCCTCAAGAGAATCCTCTACAGGCCTGCCCTTCCACTGGTTCATTTTTGCCTGCATCTTTGTACCATGTGTATGTTCACCGTTTGTACCATAGTATTATCATAAGTGCACCCTACAAGTCCCTCCAATGATTTCAAGGAAATGTTAATGCTGGAATTGGAAGGCATTGACAAATAATGAATGCCTTGAATATGTTTTTTATAGAATCCTGGATCAATATGAGTAGCCTATTAAAATCCTAGTGTAAGGAAGACCTATCAACCATACATTTACAAAATAGGATCCCCCTGGCCACGCAGCGTTACGTAATCAAAGGGTCTCACTCTTCTCCAGCTTAGGCGTCCCACAAGACGTGCCCAGCACCTGCTCCCGCTTCTCATTCAGTGACTCGCTGATGGTCCGCGTAAGATCTAAGGTCACCGATTTAAGCTTGCTCTTACCCCGCCGCTCCTGCACCGTTTTCCCTCCTTCCCCCATTCCCTCTACTCCGCTTCCTACACTGCTGGACCGACTGAAAGCGCCACCGCTGAAATCGCTACAGCTGCTGGGACCCTCCCACCCTTCTGAAAAGCTGTCAGCATAGGAACTCTCGTCTCGCCGGACTCTATCTGCTGAGAGAGCACCTGTTGATTCTGAGTCGTAACCCAAGCTTCCTGCTGAGCTGGATGACCGCGTACGGATAAGAGCGGCTCCAGATTCGCTCTTCAATCTTTTGTCCCGGATGTTTAGAAAATCTGGGTCCGGGTCGTCGAATTCAATTTCGCTGGAAAATGAGGAAGGCTTAGAAACCCTAGTCTTCACGGTAAGTCTTGAAAACTTCTCGTCTAGGTCCGCGAAGTGAACTTGTCGGGATTTTCGTGGAGCGCAATGGTTACAAAGAAGAGGCGATCCGGAAACTTGAGAAATGCGCCGCGGAACAATAGAAGGCGAATCGGACGGCGACGATGCACCAATGGCCTGCTGTTCCTCCCCTCGGCTCATTCCTCGCTCAGATGGCGCGTTGTTGTCGTCGTCGTCGTCATCGTCGTCGTCACGCTCTCGTAAATCGAATTTAAAATGCTTCGGTGCGGGAAGAGACTTCGCGGAGCGAAGTGATGAGGTTGGAAGCTTGCATGAACAAACGGCGCATCGACGTTCGGCAGGGGTTGATGACGACGGAAGAGAGCTATTCGCTGATGGTTGTGAAGGGCTGTCAGCAGGTGCTTCTGGATCGATGTAGAGGCTCGTCGGAGGATCATCCCCATAAGAATTTCCCATCGTCCTCGTTTCTGGAAACCTATCCGTTTTCGCTTCAGTCATCAATACAGCCTCCTGCTTATCGCGGCGCCAACTTCAACTCCCAGCGTTCATGTGACACGTTGCTTCAGTTGCGGTAACGATTGTGTCAACACAAGCCGGAATACTCGTGACGCAGCGGAGTTGAGGACGGAGCTACACTAGCACACCATCCCGACTCTAAGAGCGATAGAGGCCTCGCCTTGGTCGTTTTGCTACGATGTGCGACGAGAAGTGGCAGTTTAGTTGAAACAAACAGGATAATCGAGGCAGTAAGAAATGGCTCTGTTCCTCAACTCAGGGGGGGATAGAAAAGGGGAAAGAAAGCTGGAAACATGGGGGATGAACGCGGGGAGGAAGGAACTAGGAGGGTGAGGTTGGTGGTTGTGGGAGGAGGTGGAAATGGGGGGGTTGAAGTTGGGGAGGAACAGAACTGGACTGTACCTCGCTGGGGGTGATACAGACCAAGTCCTCCCCAATTTCACGTGTTGTGATCCTGGTGGTGTTGGAGTACGCAAGATTCCCAGGATCGATGTCCTTCATCATTCATCCAGCGAAGTCAGGCACCTCGGCAGGTCGTACAGTAACATGTTTTCGTGAACCGTCGCATGCAGGCAAATCCCTCCAGGTGGCCCATCGTTTTTGTGAGCCATCCTGTGAGTTTCTGGGTGGGCGGAAATTTCTGGGACAACAAGAAGGGTAATTCATGTACATTGAAGCCTGACATTCAGGGTTTTCTTTCTCGCAAGCGATACAAAAAAAAATTGCTTGTGTCGCCCATTTACATGTATGAAAATATGCACCGCACCCACGAAATTTCTTGAAAGGTGAAGTGCTGGTCAAATTCGGCGTAGTAATTCAAGGATGAGAAATGCGGTGGTCAGAAGGAACACCCCAACTGGATGAAGCACCCAGGGGAGAACTTCTACCTCACCAATCCGGGTTGTAACAAACCTGTATTTGCAGAACTATCAGGGTAAAAAAACTTGTGGGTCACTACCAGTATTTTCCCAAGAGAGTTTCGAAACTCCCAGAAATGCTAAAGCCGTGCTGCCGTGGCAACACGTCATTGCTCCTCTGTTTGCTGTCAATGGGGTACGGCACGTGGAGCGCGAGACCCCAGCAAGCAGCATTTGCGGAATCTGCTAGGCCAATCGAATCGAGCTCTTCTTGCGCCACCACTGCCTTTTTCTCGTTCTCCGGGATCACCAATTGCGCGCACTTTTTTTTCCTAGCATGTTCCGCCAGCTGCGGGCAGGACAAGTGCCCCCCTCCCCCCCGCATTGCTCTTTGGTGCCCAGTTCACACCAGCAGCACCCCCACCCACTTTCTTCCACCCCCCCCCCCCCTCTCATTCAAACTTCCTCCCGACCCGACCTTCTCCCCATGTCCGCATTGTACTATCAAACACCCACACACATTCCTCACTCTCCCTTTCACTCCACCCACTCCGCCAGCACCTACCTCACCCTTTCACTCCCCCCCCCCCCCCCCCCCTCCTTCAGCCAGCCTTGTTCCTTCCACCCCCCTCCCCCTCCACCCAGCATTCTGTTTCCACCCTCCAATTCAGGGGTGCTAGGAAGGCCACTCCACTGCCAGCCTTCTAGCTTCTCCGAGCACACGAAACCCTACTCCGGAATGGCAGCCAATCAGCAGCAGCATCTGGTGCCCAAGTCGTGAAGTATTCAGATGCATTTGTAGGGTTTAGTAACTTTAGTGGTTAAGGGAAGCTCAAGTGTCCACTTAGCTGAGGTGATATCAATGGCATCTTCCTTAGAGAGACAGAAAGGAAAAGGCAAGGCGACGCCAGAAGACGGCACAACATCGTCAGCTCCTAGCAGGAAACGAGTGCGGTTCGCAGGTGCGGGAGCAGAGCCACCATTAGATGATTCATTCACTCCAGGGTCAGGCCTTTCTTTCACCTCCGGCCGAGTTTGTTCATTGGCAAACCGAGGTCGTGTGCACGCTGGCGCACCCACTAGTTCGGGGAGAATCGCAGTGACAGCTTTTTCCAACCATGTAAGCGGTGTAGGAGAAGCTGCTAGTAAGCCTGACGGAGTGGGAAAAGGCTTGTTGGAAGACAGATCTTCGGATAAGATGTCTTCGGCTGACATTTCAGGACGGATCACAATATTCGACCACATTGCGTCTGCCATGCCGACGGACGCGTCTACTTCTGATTTAAAAAACCGCCAAACAGCCGTACCAGCATCTGATCACGAGCGAGGCTCCCCGTCGCAATCTCTTGGAGATTCAGACCCTCCTTCATCTATATCTTTCGAAGCGTCTGTGTCTGCAAATCAGGACTCATCTGATGTGAGCCGTGGCCTCGCGATACAGCTCCCGAATGATCTGACGGACCTCAGATGGGGCCAGGACAACGCAACTTGTGCCAGCAGCGCCAACGACGGAATAATAAGTCCTGACAATGGAGATAGCAGAGGAGGTGATGGTGATGAGAAGCCGCATGAAGTGCGGAGTGTGTCTATGAATGAGAGCTTGATGCAGCAGATGGAGGATTTGATATCCATGGTGCCCAGGCTGCAACTGGAAAGGAGTCGGAGCGAGATGGAGATTATTATGAAGCGGAAACATGTACTAGGTTCGTTTTTGGGTACGCCTAAGTCGGGCAAGTCGCCGCAGATTATCCTTCCCAGGACTCGAAGTTTCTAGATCCCGCATCAGCATGCACTGCCTTTTAACAGGTGCGAACTAGGATTTTGATGCAGCGCCTACACAAATGTATTCCTTTTGTACCCTTCTGGTTTGAGTCCCATTGGGTTCCAGAGGTTGTCTCTAGTTTGGTAATGCTAGTGCTGGGGAGCTGAAGTAGCTAACTAACAGCTTCGATCTACTAGGGCATCATCATTTGGCTGAAGAGGACTAGGGCTGTTTGTTATTGGAACTTCTGCTGCTCATAGCTAGCATCTAGTGCTGAGCATCTGTGTGATAGGTGAGGGTTGCTGAGTTTTCAGGATATGGATGTCTGGATTGCATTATGCCCAGCCAGCAATAAGTTGGCGTCATTTTTATATATGGTGGTGGCTGTATACATTATAACTGGAAGGTTGCTCTACAAATCTAGTTATGTATTGGCTGTTTGCTTCCCCCAATACCTGGTAGTAGAAATATGGTAAGTTTACAGATGTGAAACTTTCAGTATATATACTTTTCTATTATATCGTGTGCATGCGTTATCCATACATGAGTGCTGCAAACGTGCTTGCTGAAGATATGGTCTCCAATCTGGCCGTTTATTCAGGTGCTTGGTTGCCTCCTGTATTGGACAACCCACGGATGCTTCAGCACCTCTTCAGCAGACGGCCTCTGACTAGCCTCCACGGCCAGTAGCTTTGTAACCAGATCCTTGGCTTCACTTGACACTCCCTCCCAAGCACTTGAATCCATCTTCCCCACACCTTTCTTCGCTAGACGGGCCTGAGACCGCCGAGAGTCAGCCATGAATGGAAGTGAGCCCGAAAGGAGAGAGAAAAGAATAACCCCCAGAGACCACATGTCGGCTTTGAAACCGTATTTACACTGCTGAAGGACTTCCGGTGCGTGGTATAGCCTGCTGCCAGCCACACCTGACGAAAGCTCTCCAGGAGAGAGTGATACTGCAGAGCCGAAATCCGCAAGCTTGACGAGTGGAAAGCAACCGAGTTGGCTGGAAACTCTGTCTTTAGCAGATTCTGGAAAACACAGTAATATATTCTCGAGCTTGAGGTCGCGGTGTAGAACCCCATTTAAGTGACACACCAATACCGCGTGTACAATTTGCTCGAAAATCGCCGCTGCCTGCTCCTCCTCCATCCCTCCGCTGTCTCGTGGCGACCTCAGAGACTCTCTCTCCCCGAACGTTCCCCCAACCTCGTCGTCTTCAGAGGACGAGTATGACGATAAGCTGTGAGCATCGTTGTCTTTCGAAAAACAAGAATCGTCTGCCCTCTGATTCGCGCGGCCGCCTGCAGTGGTTTCGCACAGCAGGTCGTACAGTTCGCCGCCGTTACACTTCTCCATGACGACAAAAATCGCCGCCCTGTCCTCGAATACGTCCACGAGGGAGACCACGTGTGGGTGGCCGGCGAGCTGCTGGAGAATCTTCACTTCTCGCCGAATAGCCGCCTCTTCCGCCCGACGGTTGCGCATTTCATCTTTCCGAATCACCTTGCAAGCGTACGTTCGACCGGTGCGGCGGCTGACACACTCCCGCACGACTCCATAGCTCCCCCGACCGAGAAATCTCCCGAGAGAATACGCCGCGGAGAACTCGCGTGCGCCTTTGGGGCTCACGATGCGCGCGGTGGC